AAAAGGATATGAGATATCACCTCAATTATGAGATCATTGACCAGCGAAAGGTCGTGTTCTGCAAAGTTTTATTATGAGAGAGAAATCACTAAACCCCTTCCATGGACTAAGATATGAGAGTCATATTAAAGTCTTAGGATTGAAGCAAGTTATGTAATTTAAGTTATATATGTTTTGAGAAAGCATATTACATGAGAAATGCATCAATTTGCAGAATTATGTTTAAAATAGAAATTATTATTTCTCTTATTTAATTATGGTTTTGAAAATTAAATAATATGTCCAAAATAATTATGAATTTATGGGCTCATCAGGTTGATGACCTGGTGAATGAAACCCCACAGGTGAACAAAATTCATATATTATTTAAAGTTCCTAGTTCGAGATCATTAAAGTGGACATAAATGATTTCAATAAAAGAACTAGCATGTAAGATTGATTGGATAGCGCAGTTTCATGGGCTATAGGGGCATAGTGATGCTCGGTCAATCACTTGGATATGCATGAATGATGCATGATCGAACTATTGACCTACTTTGAAGTTCAAGTATAGAGCTTCCGTATATATTAGTGGATTCCTTTGACATGAGTGGAACATTGATTTCATTCAATGGATGGTGTGACTGTGGTACACTCAAACGTCTAGCCGTAACTGGAGATTATAAAGGGTGTTTCCCGGTTATTTCAGAAATTGAGTGGGAGTCATGTTACCACAAGATTGGATAGAGTCTACCTATTAAATTAGGAAATGTGTCATGGCCGCTTGAAGAGGGAGAATTCAGAAAATACGTGGCCGCGTTCAAATGCATTACACAATAATCATTTGGTTTTGTAATTCTAACTCAGATTTCAAGAAACGATTTGTAGAATAATATGATATCGACATGTGATGCAATCATATTATCAAATCGACACATATATTGACTTAAGAAATTTGAATATTGCACCCTTGTCTCAGACAAGTGGGAGATTGAAGGAGTTATGTCTTCGTCGTGTGCAATTACTAGATATATAAATGGATCAAAATATGGAGATAATTAAGTTTGTACATTTGGGTCGTCGTTTTTCCATAGCTAGAGGTACTAACGATCTTTGGACTAGTAAAATAGCCCAAAGCCCAATTGGACGGATCCTATAAGGTCACACAAAGGGGCTAGATCGAGCATTAGAGGACGAGGCCCAACATGGGCCTCATCACTCTAGGTGGCCGGCCATATGGAGTGGACAAGGGAGTGTTGGGCTTCTTGCCCTAGTCTAATTATAATGAGATTATAAATAGACTAGGTGCCTAGGTTTGCAGCAAGGAAGCAATTAACTGATCAGTGTGATCAAACCCTAATTAGCAAACATGAAACCCAACCCCTCTCATAGTCCTATCTCTCACGGCTCTCTCCTCCTCCTAGGCGCCGGTGGTGTGTCGCGGTGGTGGTGGTTCGTGCGGTGGTCGGTTGTCCATAAAGGTGGTGATCGCGGTTCTCCTCAATCACTCGATCAATCTACTATTGGTGGACGGCTCATTCGAATCTCGTGGTCAACGTGTCCGATTTGAGGTACTACAGAGGTCGGCATAGCCGACTATGGTGGCTGGGGTGGTCGATGGGGTGGAATCGGGGAACGGCGAGTTCGGTGGCGCTCTCTTGGTTTTTCGCGGGGGAAGGAGTGAGGGAGAGGGTTGGGGTGGTTCCGAGGAAGGGGTAAGTCGCGCGCCGGAGCTTGGTTTTCGTGGATTGCTGGAGCCGCGTGGTTGGCCGGAGCCGCGTGAATGGGGTTGGGGTTGGCTTGGGTGGTTGATGCTTTTTAAATATTAATTTTTTATTTTACTTTTTTTAAAAAAAGATTTTTTTTTGGACCAATTACAAGTTGTCACGTGTATGGTAACTTGTTATAACAAGTTAAATGACCGGTTGGGACCATTTATAGCGGGGTGGGTATAAAGGTGGGATTATTTAAAAATAATCCAAAGGTGGGATTATTTTTAGCGGACGGCCTAAAGGTGGGATTATTCTGGGCAATTTTTCCATATACTATTATATATAAGTATAGTTGTTGGTGAAAAGACATCATGCGAAAAACTAGTTTTATAGTGTATACCTACGGGATATGCTTAGTTTAATTTAGTGTAACTACCCACTTAAACATAAATTCCACATTAGATGATGAATGTATAAAATACATTTATGAGTCAATTCTTTAATTTGATATTATAGTAGTAATATATATTGAATGTAATGAATAGATTTTGATCGACAAGTAATTAAAGATTAACTACAAAGCCTTAGGGCCTGTTCTTATACGTTGAAATTCAGTTCAGTTCAGTTTAGCTCAGTTCAGTTCAGCTCCTAATTTCTTTCTCTTATAAAATATTCATTTCACTTCAGTTCAGTTCAATTCAGCTCAGCTCAGCTCAGCTCAGGTCAGTTTAGTTCAGTTCAGTTCAGCTCAGCTGAGTTCAGTCAATGAGAACAGACCCTTAGTTCGAAAATGATTTGGTCTATGGTGCCATGAAAAAAAGTGTGTGAAGTGTGAAACAAAAAAGAGTTTGGTTTTTAGAATGACATTTTTACCACTTCATTCCTAAAAACTCCTACCTTTAACTTTAGCCCCCTACACCCATATAAAAATCCTTTTTGATCTCCGATTGTGCTACTAGTCCCTTAATGGTGGAAGGTTAGATTTTGTGCTAGCCAGGCATGAGCTAAAATGGTTGAGGCATGAGCTAAAATTCTAAAATGGGGTAGATTTAAACTCTGGGAAAGAAGCATCAACATTGATTGGTTAATGAAGGTGCTAAAATTCTAGTATGTAAGGGCTTGTTCTAATACGATTATTTTCAGTTCAGTTCAGCACTAATAAGTTCATTTCAGTTTAGTTTAGTTCAGTTAAGCTCTAATAAGTTCAGTTCAGTTCAGCTCTAATAAGTTCAGTTCAGTTTAATTCAGTCAATCAGAATAGGCCCTAAGATGATTCATTTTTGTTGGCTCTGACATCAAAATAATTTTTGAAAGAAAACTAACTTTAACTTCAAGGTACAGTTTATTTTGTTAATGCGTTTGAAATTTTGATTGAATATACATTTTAATTTTGATCAAAGGTGACCAATAGCAAAGTGTGGGGGAATTTGATAATTGGATATTTGTCCGTATTTTTATTCTCTAAATTTATTATCATAGTCGTCTTTTATTCATTATATTTAGGGGCGGACCATAAGAGAGAATAAACGGGCCTTGGCCCTGATAACTTTGCGATAAAAAAATTACTTAGTATATAAAAACCCAATAAAAAGAATACTTATTGCTTTTTTTTTACCTAGCAGCCTAGGCCCTAATAAAGCTGAATATAGAGTGGAGTACTAATTTATTATACGGAGTACTAAATAACTACCCAATTCCAAAAAAAAAAGTAATGACAACCCATTAAATTACAACTTTATGCAATTTTGATTGATTTTTTTTTGCCTGGTCCGAAATTGGCCTGAAAAGCCCCATGGCCCGCCTAATTTGGACGGTTTGGGCACACATTTTCCGGTCCGATCTGATAATTGTGCAATTTTTTTACCTTGGCCCGGCCCTAACCCGGCCCGACATGCCCATTGTTCACCTCTAAAATATTATGAAACGGAGGTGATATACTAATATTTTACTCTCCCTCCGTCCCCTTTTTTACATTCTTGTTTGTAAAATTACGTGGGAACTAAGTAACTAAGAATAAAACAAAACACAATGGGAAGTATTATACAAAACATTAAATGATGTTAAAACAAAGATAGATTAATATTTAATAATGTCATGTCATCAATCTTTTGTAAAAAAAAAGGACCAATCATATCTATATTATAATTGTAGAGTCATTTTTCCAACTTTTAACCACATCACTCCAAACCATCAATCCTCAAATTCTGTTAATTTACTAAAAAAAAACAAAAAAAAAACGCAATCATAACTTCCTACTTTATAACTTCCACTTATATATTTACAAAAATAAATTAATAATATCATAGTAATAAAAAAATAAAAATAAAAAATTATAACAATATATATTATATAATATATATAAATTATTGAATTGAAAGTATCATGGATACTTTATGTGGGTCGAGTTCGGGTTGGGTCATGCTTAAGTCGGATCATGTCGAGTCATACATCTTATCGGTTTTAGGTTAGGTTTATGTCAAATCAATAATAGGTTGGGTTACATTCGGGTCGGGTGAATAATAGGTCGGGTTTAATTCGATTTTTCGCGGGTTAAAATGAGTAAGGGTCATTCTAGGGTATGAGTCGGGTTCGGTTGAGGTCAAAAATTTGCAGGTTATTCTTAGGTTGATCTGTTCGAGTCGGGTTCTATTGAAGTAAAAAATTTGCGGGTTAAAAAAATTTGCATCTATATAATTAATTAACAAGTCGTGTTGATTTAGGATCAGATTAGTAACAGATCGGGTTGGGATAGTAATAGGGCGTGTAAAATTCGAGTCGGGTTAATAATAGGTCGGCTTAAATTCAGGTCAGTTTTATAACAAGTCGAGTTAAATTTGAGGTGGGTTAGTAATGGGTTGGGTTACATTCGGGTTTGACGAGTTAAACAGGTTTAAGTCAATTTCGATTCAGGTCGGGATTGGTTTAAGTCAATAATTCACGGGTTATATTCAAGTCGTGTCATCCCATGTCAGTTGATGTTCGGTTCGGGTCTAAAATTCTCGGATTCACTAGGGTCTAGAGTTGGTTTTTGGTCGGGTCATTTTAGGTTCGGGTCACCATTTTTTCGGGTTCAAACAGATCGCTTAATGACTGGGTTCGGGTCGATGTATCGGGTCGAGCCAGCTTTAATAGGTCTAGATACATCAAGAATTTTATTAACATGTAGCATATTTATGGAATTTTGTTCTCTTCTAAGATGATCCATGGATATCACTCTTTAGTAACTAATAACTTGATAATCACTTCTATAAAAATATTGGAGTACTACTAACCATTTTTTTTTTGTTGTTGTTCCTCCATACTATTTTATGTTTATCTGCATCTATATACTCTGTAATTTTTAATCCTATCTTTAATTATAACACTTGCATTAGCACGTGCACATTCTAGTTTATCTAAATTTAGGAGTGAGAATAGGAAAGCAAGAGTGAAAAAATAAAAGTGAGAAAATAAGAGTGAACATTAATTACATAACAGAAAAAGAAGGATAATTTGTGATATTTAGAAAAAAAAATACTTACTAATAAATTTGAAATACCCAAAAAAAAAAAGAAAAAAAGGGTATTTTTATACGTCAAAATAAAAAGGAACCTCTGTCTGAGTTAAACAGTAGTACTTATCTGGAAACTTTTAATTTGCTTCTTCCCTTCAACTTCTTTAGCAGCAATTCTCTCTGCATTTTTTGAGGTAAGTTTTCGATTAAATCAGAAAATCCACTTACCCTTGTTTTAATTATTCATGTTATTGCTACTTATAGCTCTTTTTTATCATTGTATTTGTAACAGATTTCAACCTGAAAAATGATGAATTATTCCATCTCAATGAAGAAGCAAAAGGAGTGTGATGATTCTGATGAAGAAGGAAATTGCAAAAAAGATAAGTTAAGTGAATTACCAGATGAATTAATTATCCAAATTCTTATCTTTTTGCCAATTAGAGATGCTGTTAAATCTGTCTTACTTCGTCGATTCGGAAACTTATGGACATTAATTCCTACCCTTAGGTTTGATAAGAGCAATAACGAAATATTTGTGTTCAATGTTTTGAAATTTCACAAAAACCCTATCCTTGATAAGTTTGAGTTGTTTTGTTTTGGTGCAAATTTTTGTGAGTTGTTAAACTTGTACAAGTATAAACTTTCCAAGCAAAATTTGATCAACTTGACAAAAATTGCCTTAAAAAAAAACCCAAAAGTTGTAAGTGTTAAAAATGATGATTTCCGGACTGGTCCTTATTATCTTCCATCTGATGCCTTCAGAAATCGATATATCATTTCGCTTTATCTTCATAACATTGAGATTAAATTCCCAGGTGAAGTTGATATGAGTTCATTAAGGAAATTGGAACTTGTTCAAGTGATTATGTATGATGATACATTCAGAGTTTTAACAAGTGGGTGTCCTAGATTACAAGAATTGGTGATAAAGTATTCTCACAAATTGACTAAGTTGCACTTTACTGCTCCTAACATTGAAAAATTGGAGCTTTATTTTGATCATAGTGTAACATTAATAGAGGACCAATCTTACTCATTGAATTGCCCCAATCTCAAGATCTTGCATGTTAAAGGAATATGTTTGGGATGTCTACAAGTGATTAATGTTTCATCTGTTCAAGAAGCCAAAATCAATCGATGTACTGAGTGGCCTGGGTGTGAACCGTGTGATGAAACGAATGATATGGCTCAGGGCGAATTTGACAATTTACTCAACAAGCTTCAACATGTTGAGTTTTTAGAATTGGATGATGGAAAGGGAGCTTACATTGTGAATTTTTGCTTCTTTATTCTAGCTTTTATTGAAAAAAGATGCACCCTTCTCTTGTTTTGGTTTATCTTTGATTACCATTATTACTCCATAGTATGAATTACTCCCTCTTCTTTTATACTATTCACTTGCACCATTTTGACTGATATTCGTGCTTCATAAGAGTTAACATAGTCATGTTGCTACATATACATAATCTGCTTGTACTATGATGATACCTATGATGTAATTATTCGGTCTCTTGTGTAGCTAAACTGTTTGTCATTTTTGCAATTTATGCACATTGCACATAGCTTAGTAAGAAGTTGGATAAATTTAATTGGATTTATATTTGGTATTGTAATGTGACATCTTCATATGGTAGATAGTATGGTACTGATGCATTTATGTTAGGAAGTTTCATTTAATATCACATTGGCTGAATTGCTTATGTTTTGTATCAAAAGAAGTTTGCTTTAAAATGTATTTTAGATTAGAGATAGTACCGAATTGAAATCCTCTCCTATATATTCGTGTATGAATTACAATCATTATGCTTTGTTGTGGGATACAAATTGCTACTTGACCCTAAACGTTAGGGCCGGGCAGGATTAAAATTGTTTCTATATGTTAGCTTAGGACAGGAGTATGAAACATAATGCTCATTTCCTTGCATGTTGTTTTTATTTATGGGTGATCATTGCTTGGTAAAGCACGCACTATAACTACTTGTATAAGACAATTATTGGGATAAAACTAATGTTGTGTTTCACTCTGTATCAGCAATTAAAACCCTGTGGAGAATATGGAAATGAGAAACTGATTTTTCGAGCACCTGAAATTTATTTACTTCTCAAGCCAGGAATCTATGGAAGCTGTCTGGTAGACATTATCAGGTTGCTAAAAAGCTCATCGATCTTGATGTTAGTTACATTATATGCTGATGTGGTAGGTCGTCTATCTGCTTATGGATTTATCTAGCTAGCCAATACGAAGTATTTTAGAAGTAAACTTCCTTCACTTTTAGTTGCAACAGTTTGACTAAAATTGAGATTTTTCATGTACTAAAATTTCAGGATTTGTTCTGTGATTGCAATATGCTCATGCATGAGCTATCTTCTCCTTGTGTGCTGGGAAACCTTAGATCTTTTATCATCCGTGAATACAAGAAGCCATGTGAAGCCTTCAGTCAGCTGATAGCATTTGTGCTTAAAAGTGCAGTCATATTGGAAGAAGTGTCTATTGAAATCAATGGAAAGGATGAGCTGTTTTCAGCAGAGAGCCAAGAATTCATTCTGCAGCTGTTAAGCTTCCCAAGGGCATCACCGAAAGCCAAAGTTGAAATTCAAGTTAAGTAATTATGACTTCAGCATTGGTAATTCGCCTCTGCCATTGTTAATCTGAAGTTAATTGCAATTGAATGGTTCAATATTAGTGCTATAACTAATCTAGCTATTAGCCTAGAATGCTTTTGTTATGTGCAAGTGTATAAATATGAAACTAATGAAGAGTTTGTGCCAGACTGAGAGAAGGATGTTCCATCTCTTCCCGCCTGATGAACTGTTTGATGCTTACAGTCTGGAAATTCCGAGCAACAACACGGGTTAGCCTCTCTCCTCTGCTTCAGGTTACCTAAGAATACTACTTGAACCTTTTGTCTTCAAGCTTCGCTGCCCACAACAGATATGTTTGTGCTATTACTCTGACTGCTAGCTGTTCTTATTTTCATTCCTGCTGTTGTTACTTGTTTTGTACTATGGCAAGTTTGGTGTATTTTGCTAAGAGTCTAAGACCCTTTATTTTCCAAAGAATTTTTCTCCTTGATGATAAATGCTATTTCCTTTCTGTGTAAATAATAAAGAGTTTGTGCCATAATAATAAGTACCACTATTTTGTTCATACCACTTTTGAGCTAGATAATCATTATGCAGTTTGGATTGATCGTTTTACTGTGTTGTTGTGATCTATAGTTGGATACGAGCGTTCGTAGACTCGTAGTTGAGTCATCCTTACAGCCTGCCTTTCTTTCCTTTCCTTTGACACCCTTAGCTACTTAAGACCCCAAATAACCAATAAATTGTCCTATAATTTTGAAGAACTTCAAAGTACATCCATGTTTTTTGCATATGCATCTTACAATACATGTTAAGCATATTATATTTCAAAACTTCTGAAACTGTCATGAAGACTTGACCAATTTATGAGGGTTTGCTGGTGGTAGTTCTAATTTAGTGTAGTTTGTATAGAAAAGATTTTGATACACGTACAAATGTACAATAGGGACACGAGAAATTGTATACTTCTGAATTCATTATAACTTATTAACTATTTCAAAATTCATATTTGCTGTATCACTAAAACGTGGTTTGTCAAACTGTCAAAGTAACAAAAACAGAACAGTTTCATAAGTCTTAATTATTGATTTGTTATACAAGGTGCTAGATGAAGCCCGTGCAATGTACGGTTTGTTTGATTTTTTTTAAATAATGTTTTTTTTTTTTTTTGTATTTATGAGCCTAAAATTTGTTATATATTTAGATAAAATTCCTAATATTAAAAGATAATATATAATATTTAATTAATTTAAACTTAAAAATCTCATTCACCAATTTTGCTTACATGACATTTAAATTATTTAATTCTAAAAGAAATTAATAATCTCTTATTTAATTGGCTACTACTAAAATTTATAATCCTACATGGCGCGCTGAGAAAATTAGATCCTATGTGGCTCTCTAAAAAAACTCCGAGAAAAACTCCCCTTTAAATATATAATATTAGATTAGATTGTCGAATGAGTTACCTTATTAAATTACTTTTCTTAAAGTTTGACGGTGCTGAAACATATATTAATATAATAATATACTCCGTATTTTCCATGCTTTTTACACGATTGGGCCTGAGAAATGCGAACATGTGACCTATCATACACATATCTTCAATATAGATGCAAATAATATAGATTTCGTGTGTTTAATATATATCTTAACAACAAACCACACTAGAATATTTTCTTCTAATCCTAACCCTAGCCCTCTTCCTCCATTGTTGTTGTTTTTAACAAAAACCATGAACACTACAAAATTACAAGGCAACAAAAAAATCAAACATGGCAACAAAAGAGATCGCTTAAGTGAATTACCAGATGAATTACTTGTACATATTCTCTCTTTTCTCCCAACTACAGACGCAGTTCGAACAGTCTTACTTCGTCGATTCGGAAACTTATGGACTTTGATTCCTACCCTTACATTCGAAGATCCCGATGACGATGAATTTGTATGCAATGTCCTAAAACATCACAAAAGCCCCGTCATTCACAGGTTGAAATTGTGCGATGTCGTTGGACTTTCACAAACAACTCTAACAAAATGTGCAAATCTCGCTTCAACAAAAAAAACCGAACAACTTTTACTTTTTATGGAGTATGGAGATTTATGTGTTGTGCCTCGTCGTGTGTTTCGAAGTCAGCACATTGTTACGCTCGTTCTCGATGGTTTAAAACTTGCACTTAAACGACCGGTTTTCGTGGGATCATTGATGCGATTGGAACTCGTCAATGTGAAATTTTGTAAAGGCGCGCTTGAAAGAGTGATAGACGGATGCCCTTGTTTGAAAGACTTGCTTATAGTGAACCCTATTGGTATACGAGGTGTACAATTTACGGCTCCAAATATCGAAATGTTGATGCTTGAACTTCAAGATGTGATGGATTTTACAATTGATTGCCCTAACCTTAGCATCTTGCATGTTGAAAAAACATATACGGAACAACTACAATTCATCAATGTTTCATCTGTTTATTATGCTTCGATCACCATCCCTTGCAGCATTCCTCATCGCGATTTTGCTCAATTAGTTGATACGTTCCCAAATATTGAGGTTCTTATTGTGGGTTATGAAGCTTATGCGGTGAGTTTATTTTTTGTTTTCATTAATATAAAGGATCCGTTTGACATCGTTGCAATTTTTTTTTTCAAAATCATATGATTTATGTCCTATAATGAATCAAAAATCAGTTAAATTTATTAAAATCATGATAATTTTAAAAGCTAATAACAAAAACTTGTTTCATGTTTTTGGTTTTTACATTTGTGCATACATTGGAATTAGTTTTCAAGTCTTTTCGTCTTAGCACTTTTGTACGCGATTCCTATCATCATATTTGTCCATGCTCTTGCCGTGCTTTTGACATGAATGTGAGTAGATGCCTAATCATTTTAGCTAGCAACTTGTGCTTGTTGCAACAAATGGTATGAATAAAAATAACTTATGATGCATTAACAATGTTAACAAATGTCATTTGTTGATTAATTTAGCATTTTGTATCATTGCAAACCAAATCTTTTACTGTTAGAAATCAGTATACTGAATCGAAATCCTGTCATCATACAGTCATGTACAATGTTTGCTCTGTTAGGGGTTACAAATTCTTATTTGTTCCTGAATTGAAAGCTTCTAATCATGCACTAGGTGATTAAACAGACTTAATTTTCTCTCAAAATCTCGGTGTTTATTGACTGTTACATGTTTGCGGTATCATCTTAATTAGGATACTACTCTGTATTCATGCATCAATCATGTAGTCCAACAGATTGAATGTTCATGATAGATTGCTTGCCAAGTATGATTATCAAAATCAAGTTTTTGTGTTATGAGTTCGGATATTAAATTGCTAATTATGTTGTTCCACTCTTCATCACCAGCAATTAAGACAATGTGGAAATTCGAAACTGGATTTGGAAGATAATAACAAATGGGTTCGTTTATCTCTGAGACCAAGAGTCCATGGAAGCTGCTTACGAAACATTATTTGTAAGCTGCTAAAGGCGTCGCAATGCTTGCAGACACTTATTATCTATGCCAATGGGGTAGGTTTTTCAAGCTATTGTACGTATGTATATACATTGTTATATACTTTGATATAACTTGCTTCGTTTAATTTGTTCATCAGGATTATTTCTGTGACTGCAACATGCTTCAGCGCGAGCTTTCTTCTCCTTGTGTGCTGAAGAAGCTTGAAACTATCACCATACATGAATGCGAGAAGCCATATAAAGGCCTACTTCAGCTGATAGAATTTGTGCTTAAAAGTGCCGTAGTCTTGGAAAAACTGGTTATTCGCTGCAGTAAGGATAAATTGTTTTCAACAGAGGGGCTCGAATTCATTAACCAGGTATCAAGCTTCCCAACGGCATCGCGGAAGAAAGTGGAAATTAATATTATGTTGAGTACTTAGAAACACCCCCTATTGTGATTTTAGCAGCTCGATGCATGTTATAAGGTGACACTATTAATCTGAGTTGGTGAGTTTGCAATGTAAATGGTTCTATATTAGTGCTAAACTGCTAATATACTCTATTAGCTAGCCTTGAATGTTTTGGATTTCTGCCATAATGTGAAGTTCTCTGTAACTCTATTCGGTCATATATCTTCAATTCAGCTAGAAAATGATACTGCAATCGGAAAAATAGTCTCACTGAAGAAACATTTAGCATAACAGTTACACAAATTGTAACCTGTCTTATAACAATTACTCGAAAAAATCTGTAGAGATTGGAAGGTGTGCTCAGGTATGCAAGTGAACGATCTTGGCAGTCACCGTTACAGCTTAGATTGACTTGCATAGTTGCATATGTAACACTGCATAGTAACGGATGTGCACAAAGATAATTATGGGGAAAATACAGAGCTTTGCTAAAGTCCATTGACAACATAGCCTGTGTTCAAGCTTTGCAGAAGAGAGAAGTCCTTAGAGCCTTAGAGGTGAAAATATCCATGACATAATTTACTGCCAAGTGCCAACAGTTGCTAAATGATGCAAGATGGAAAGTCAAGGTAGCTCATGTGTACCGTGAAAGCAATCGAGCGGCGGATTGGTTGGCCAACTGCAGAGTTGTTCAAGACTCTCAATTAAAATTCATTAATAATGTGCCGGTAGAACTTAGTCGTATTTTAGAGGTGGATAATAGGGGTGTGGCATTACCACGCTTTGTAGTGTTCTTTGTTTTCTTTGCTTTTTATTTTCTGCCCTTTATTTCTTCTTGGATAGTAATCCTCTTTTGAAAAAAAAAAAAAAAAAAAAAAAAAAAAAAACTACAGTGATGTTAGCAAATTACGATCATGAAGTTGATGACTACTACAGATATTGCAAATTCTGATAATCATGAGAAAAAAGATAATACTAATTGTAGCAACTCAATGGTGAACTATTACAATGGTGAACAATCAAATGAAAAGAATGAGTGGGAAGTTATAACCAGAAAAATTCAAAAGCCAAGATGTATAAATGAAAATATAATTCTGTAATTTCAAAAGAATTGAAATTGAAATGTTGTTCATAGTAATTGTTCAATGATGACCCTCTTTCAAAAATTTCATTCTTAAAATACAATATTAACATGGAACTAACACAAGGGTCAATATATGATGAGGAACAAAAATCAAGATCAACGATCCTCTGTTGAATACAGAGTAAAAGAACAAAAAGACAATCCCAAAAGCCATATTCAATAGGATCTACCAGTAATTTCCAGCAGATTCGAAGTTCTGTCCAACATCAACTTTGGCATCACTTCTTACATCTTCCCATTGTAAGTTGAGGTATCTAAAATCTTCTACGCACCTCCCCAAATATGCCTGTAGAAAATGATGAGCAAAAGCATATCAATACGACCCTTCAAGTACTAGCAAATGCAAGGCAGACGATTAAATTATGTTAACACAGAAAGAGACTTGAAAGATACTTCAGATAAATTAAGGTTCATCCTACATAAGATTCAAACATAAATGCGGTTGTCACTTTTTAGCATATAAGATAAGATGTTACAGCATATACTAGATGTTTTTGAGTTTTACTCGATGAAAAAGTGGCCAGTCACTGAAATTATGAAGATAGCCTGTAAAACTTTTTACTGTGAGTGGATAATGTCATACAGAATGATACTCTGGGACTCAATAAAAGGGATTAAAAATTATATTGAAGCACAGTTTTCATTTCCCTATCCATAGGCCAAATAAAATCTCTGAACATGCCTCTTCTCTCTGTCCCACCCACGGCCACCAGTCAGAAAATGAGAAACTTTTGCCGTTGGGCACTAATACACTAACCAAATATACCATAAACGAAAAACAGCTCCTCTTCGGGTAGTCTGGCAATGGACAAAGGGTTGGTTTTAACAAAGATGACAAACACATTGCTGAAGGACGCCATATAGAGTCACAAACATCACCCTGGAGCCTATGTCAAAGGTAATTAAGATAAACAACAACAAACAATTCAATCCTAAGAATATAAACAAAGATCTGCAGACTAAAGCAACAGGACAATCTGGAAGGATATATTAAGAAAGGCCAACACAGAATTTGATGGGCAGGCTCAGAAAGTGATCAGGAGAAGTAAAAACTTCGTACATGATATTAGCATATTACAAAGGAAAACAGTTTGCAATGTAAGAGTTAAGACAGTTCCAAAGCAATCAGCCCCAGAACCTGAACTCGTTAAGAGGATATCAGAAGTTAGAGGGAAAATATGAGAATCTAGTCCATCCTTGTTCTTGATTTTGGTTGGGCTATAAGCCTATAATAAATCCTATCAGAGGATTTAGAAATATCTTAGATAATTTTTTGGACCCTTATGCAGCAATACCCTTCCATAATAAGTCAAAATGTCAAATGGTAAAAGGAACAAGTAATAAATTATATGAGAGGATTAAAGTTCCTCATAAAGCACGACTTATAGGCTATAATCATCTAGTTGATGTCAGATATCCAGTGATGCGCAGGTGCAATAAGGTAGGCAATAAATATGTTTACGAGTTTGACAGGATCCTTGCCGGAAAAGAAGGCCAAATTCAATTTTAACAGTACAGGTACAATAGCATACAATTCAGAATATTCAAGGATTTGATCCTTTCAAGGTGAATTGGGATAACAAAAATCATGTATGAGAACAAACACACCAAGTCCATTTACACAATGAAAAAAAAAAAGAAGAAGAAGAAAGTGCATCCCTTTCAACGTTGATTGAGAATGAGCATAGTCAAGGGAACTGCAAAGAGATACAAAAGGCAAACCTGTTAAGCAATATTTTTCCCCTAAAAATTCTATCTTTAACAAAATTCAACAATACTATACATGCCTTTCTCTGATTTAGTCAATATTGATAAATGAGACAATTTCTAACTCACATTTACTTTTAGTAAAAACGATGTCATAAAAATATACCAAAGCACTTCATCACCAAACCAAAAACGCACTCACTAAATCAAGCATGTGGTAAGTTACATTACCTGTTCCATATTTCAGATACTTGCCGTGATCCGTTGTACAAAATAAACCACATCAAAATAACGATTAGTGTATCTGCCCAAGTTAAGGAGCTCAATATTAAGATAAAAAGAAATTCCTGTAAACAGACTAACTTTGGATAGCAAAAATCACTTTATCAAAATCTAATACAAGGCATTTATATACTTTGATAAATAGGCTTACTATCACATGCAACAGAAAAGGCCATAAATAACCCAGCAAAACGAATAGAACTATCCTATTTCCCTATGTGGTCAGACTTTCTTCTTCAATCTCATTAAAGGAAACAAATTACATTAGGACAATAGTTATTCACTCCTCCGTTCTCACTTCTTGAATATGAAGTACTCTGTATATTTCAAGCTAGCGGTATTTGACCCAATCACATAGCTTCAGAGGTTCTGAAGAGTTAAATTGATTTAACAATGTAAAGCAAGTATCCATCCTCAAGAGTTAAATTGATATAACAATGTAAAGCAAGTATCCATCCTGAAATAAAGGTATAAGTAATCGTAGCTGTTTGCAAATAATGACACCGAGACTAGATTGAAATCACATCAAGGCACCAGCGGTCATTGACAGGAAAGCTACTTCAGAACATGTATAGGAAACAGACACGGCAAAGGCCTTATTAGAGTTCACGATTCTAAGCATAAGTAATCGTAGCTGTTTGCAAATAATGACACCGAGACTAGATTGAAATCACATCAAGGCACCAGCAATCATTGACTGGAAAGCTACTTCAGAACATGTATACAAAACAGACACAGCAAATGCCTTATTAGAGTTCACAATTCTAAGCATCACATAGAAGTCACAAATAATACTATAACTCCACAAACAACTAATACCATCGTTTTACACACATAGATTTAAAAAACTCCATGATTTAGAACATAGAAAGCACATGTTAGAGATTTTTAGAAACTCGAACACAATCAAATGAAGCATCAAGGATACTGAAAAGGTAACTCTCCCACCAATCTAACATATAGAGTCCAAAAGTGACATTGTAAAGGTAGATCTTGCGTTGCAACCAATTCATGATTGCTCGACGAACACGAACTGCAAAATCCTAGATCAATGTCACAACTCAAATAAATATATTCTCCTAAATTTGACTTGAAACCTATGAAAATTATCATCATAAACAATCTACATCTAATCACAACAATGATTTGCTTCATCACTAATACAAACATAAACTAATGTTGAGTAAACAAGTAATATCATATAGTATGAATTTCTAACAATTCGTCATCATAATAATATTCATAAATACTGCAATTAATACCACATAACAAATCTAAATGCAGAATTCAATAGTTAATAAAAAAATAATAATAATTATAAAAAAAAAATTCTTGCAACATTTTGTTTGTCAAATTTAAAATTTCCAGAACATAAACACCAATAATTTCAATCAAATTGAAACTTCTAGCTCTTATTATCTCTTGATTAATATAAGTTAACCTAAAAATTTCCAATTTTTGATATGAAACAAAAATAGATTACCGAGAGTAGGAACCGTTGCCCTAATTCGAATTAGGTTTCGCCAATTCAGCTGATCTCGATCAAAAAAACAATCAAATTTGGTAATCTTGAGCTAAAACTTGCGAATTCGACAACAAAATCTTAGAAATTTATCCAATTCAGCATGCTAAATTTAAAGGTTGAAGAGAGAAAAAAGAGTAGTTTAATTTGAAGAAAGCCTAATTGGGTCTGCCAAATTTGACCCGATTTGTGTTTTTATTCAGTTACCGTTTCCTAACTTCCTTGAACTTACCAAATAATATAAGGAATAGTCAAAAACTCAAAACCCAATTACTCGTATAATATGGGCCAGTTTATTATCATCTATCCAATGGGCCAATTGGCCTATAATAACAATCACTTTATTTTTTTTTTTTTTTTTTTTTTTTTTTTTTTTTTTTTTTTTTTTTTTTTGGGAGTAAGGATTGATCAGAATGGTCACATTCCAAGTGATTTACGAAGTCCTTTCTTCCTTCTGATTTTAGGTATAGCGAAGTCGCGACATAGCACGTTATGTGTTTTATTAAATGACTGTTTCAAAATAATAGGACACTTCTATGAGCATAGATTGGATGTCTACTATTGTCGAAACAATGAGATACCTTTGAGTTTTTAGGTAGATTGACTTCCCATTGCACAATCAAATTTGGTAAATGTGTTAGTAGTTTTGAATTTAGCTAAACAAAGAAGATGATGAACCTACAACAATAAACCTACTTGCAATCTTTAGTAAATAATTGCATATTTCCCCTTCTTTCTTTTTTAAATTGGGCAAGATAATGATAAATATTGGATTTTTGTTTGTTAATAAAGAATAGATTTCATCTATATTCTGTTTTTGAAATAGCCAAAAATGACACAAATGGAAAAATTCATCAAATCCATCCACTATCCCATATTCCCATGTGATTGAATTTGTACCTAACCAAAATTTAAAAGATATGATTCAATGTTGATTGTCTTAGGTAATGTGTAATGGCACACTTGTTTAAATAGTTAGATCTTTGAACAATGAAGTAAAATCGCAACTTCGCACCTATTTGAACAAAATCTCACATAACATGATCTGACTATAATTAGAAATGTATAGTAAATTATTTAGATATATGTAACTTTCATTCATCTCATAATTTTAAACTAACAATGTTGATAAAAAAAGATGATATCTTCCAAGAGCCAAAGCTTTCTCCATTTCAATTACATAAGAGCATCTCCAATGGTTCAATTATAAGGACTTGCTTGTAATTTAAATAAAGTTCCTAGCTACATGCTTATCATTGGAGAACAAAAAATTGAGCAACATACAACTGTAGCCCAATCAAGCTACATGCTTGATTGAAAAAGAGACAATAATCTCCACTCATATTGTAACATGTGTATAATTATCTATTATTTTTTAAAATTTTATTTTTTGCAAACTACAATATATTGTGACTTACCATTGAAACAATTTGTTGCTTAAAAAGTGTTGTAGCTTAGAAATTGATGTGGAAAAGCAAGCTACAAACCATTGTAGCGTAGCCTGCTATTGGAGATGCTCTAAAATTTCAAACCAACAATGATGATCCAATACTTTTGCAAATTAGAAGGGAAAATAAATTGTATATATACCAAGAAATCCGTAACCATGATCTCCATCTTGAATACTAGTACTAGTAGGAAAGAATTAGGTACATATAAAATACGTAGTAGTAAAAGAATACTATAAAATCTATATAATCTAAAAAAATTTACTAACAAGTGAATAAATCACTCATTTATAACAATAGTACTATACTAACGTGCATAAAACACTAATTCTATTTCAATATCAATAAACTTTAAAACCCCATCTTTGTCCTTCGTTCATTCTCATCAATAGCCAGTAGGAAACTCACAACTTCCAAATTCTGCAAAAAAAAAAAAAAAATAAAAAAAAAAAATTCATAAGTCATTTTAAAATAATAATAATACAGTAATAATTAATTAATTAATTAATTAATGTAATTAAGGAGCATAAAAACAATTGAGACTTACTAGGAGGTTGGGTTACAACATGAGCAGCACCACCAAAATCACACGTACCAGCCGCACGTGTCTTCATCTGATAGTAACTGTTAAAAGCATACGAAGCATGTGCATTGAGGTTACCGGGATTGTAACACGTGGCACCAGGCTGAATCGGACGGCAGTCCGCTTTCCCCTGACCACAGGCCCAATCAAGCCCAGTTTGCAACTTCTTGGCCTCAACAGCCTCATTAGCCACACACCAACTCTGGCCCTCTTTAGGGACTACCGTCTTTCCGGCATTATTCGCAGCAGCCGGCGCCACCGCACCACTCACCGGAGCCACCGCATTTGTCACCGGAGCCACCGCACCAGCGGCCGGAGCCAGTGCACTTGTCGCCGGCGCTACCGCACCAGAAGCCGGCGCCATCGCACCAGCTGCCGGAGCCGCCGCAGCAGCTTTTGACGCGGTAAGAGGGACATCATAGACTTTTTGCTCAGTTGGGTAAAAAAGCCCATAGTTTCTCTCGCTTGTTGGGCCGGGCTTTTGGTTTTCGTTGAACAAAGCGAATAAGTAAACGTCCAATGGGATTTTGGGCCTTAAAGGGGTCCCACCACCTGTTAAGACTCTTTTGATTAAGTTTCCGTTGTATGCTGCTGCATTTTGGCTGCTTGCTCCTATTTCGTTTTCATCTCCTTTTGATGGCCAACCTGTGGAAAAAAAAATATAATAATTTAATTAATTTCCATACAAATAATTATTGTATTGTTTAATGAATTATTTATTATTTTATTAATAAACATTCATCTATAGAGTTTAGCACTAAAGACAAAAAAACAAATAGCAATAAAGTTACGCGCAACGGTCTTATATACGGAGTACATAAAAAGAACAAACTTATTTTATGGTAAATAAAACCTACGTCTTATGACTAATCATTTTCTTATTATACGTAACAAGTACAAACATACTTTATCGTAATTAGAAGCTTAGAGCCTCACGCTATGTAGATCATTTTTCTTAAATAAATAATTATTGTATCGATTTCTATGATTAGCAAGGATATGTGAATAATAAAGAAGCGGAGGGAGTAATACATAATGAACTAAAGATATACAGTACCTGTTTCAGTGACGACAATTTTGAGGTCGTTGAATTTAAGGGCATCCATAGCAGCATAAACAGCATCCAATTGGGCCTCAAAAAGGTTATTATACTTAAGCCCATTACCCGAATCCACATTACCAGAATTGGGCCTAAACAAGGCATAATCCAACGAAATATCACCCGAATTAGCCGAATAAGCAAAAAACGGGTAAGCATTAACCATCATATAAGACTTAGTTTTCTTCAAAAACTCAAGCATAGGTTTAACAAACGGGTCCAAAAGTTCCTGTTTAAACGACCCGGATGAAGGCGGGTACGAGCTTTGGAGGACGGAATAAGAAATAGGAGAAGATATCTTTATGTCATTTGCTAGAGAATTCTTTTGTAAAGTGGCATAGACATTGTTCATGGCGGGAACGACGTAGGATGTCACTTTCGAGTCGGCATTCGCTTCGTTCCCGACCGCGATGGCAATAATGTTTGAGCTCGGGTGGTACGGTAGGATGTTGGTTTGCACCCATGAGTCCGTGAATGACTGACTACCGGCTGCTTCGGCTAGCTTCTCGTTCGGGAGGGCGACGGTGACGGCTATTTTTGAACCGGAGAAGGCTTTTAGGACATTTGCATCGGTGTCGTAGAGCTTCACACGTGTTATTCCTTGTTGTTTAAGGAGTTGTACCACCTTGTCTGGGGTTGGAAGGTTGTTCGCTATTCTCCCGTAGTTGATCCCAATTTGTCCGGCGGTCTCTAAAAAAAAACAAAACAAGATAATAATTGTATTAGAATCATATTTTTACATTAAAAATAAAATAAAATAATATTATTACGATAAAATGTAATAAAAGTATGCAGTATGGTCCGATACACTTATTAAAAAAAAAATTGTGTATCGGACCATACTAAATCCCTCCCGATTTGAGAGGATTGATTACAATAGTAAGTAATAGAGAATTAAGTTACATACCGGCGGCGAGGGCGGAGGCGGAGAGGAGGAGGAAGGAGAAGAGGAAGGAAGGGATAAATGAGGGAGCCATTGTTGAGAGGAGAAGTGAGAGAGGTTAGGAAAAAGAGAGAGGGAGGTTTATAGTTTATATAAAGAGGAAAAATGGGGGGTTAGGAAAGAAAGTGGGGGTTTAGAGTTGACAGAGTGGAAGGAAAGAAAAGAGGAGTAAAAACGTGATAATGGCCAAATTGGGGGGACGTTATTTCAGAAAATGCCGTGGTCTTTGGTGTTGTGGGTTGTTATTTGTTTTTTTTTTTTCTTATTTTTAATTAATTGTTGTTATTTGTATTTAGTCAATGTAAATATTTATTAATCCTTTTACTTCTTGTTGTAACTTAGTTTTACAAACAACTACTTTCACCTGTTTTTGTGAACATGATTATTAGGTTTCCATCAAAAAAAAAAAAAAAAGTTTAGTTTTCAAAGTAAATAAAAATGGTCAGCTTATTTATAATACGTTATTAACAAATATAGTTTACGGCATATTCTTGTATCTATTTATTGACTTATCTTATCTAAATTTATTGAAATTTTAATAGATGCATCTATTGAGTTTGACATGCTAAAAATTTCTACGTAAAAAACTAATAACTAATTATGTCGGACATTTTTATATTTAATTTTGTAATCATGTATATACAAGTTGTATTAAAAAATTTTTTTAAAAAAAAGGCACCTTGATTTTTTATTTTATTTTTTTATTTTTTTTATTTTTTATTTTTAACATGACATAGAAACATATGATATACAAAGCTTGCATAGCCTATGTGCCGACTTGCTTTCATGAAGTATTAAACTACAATAATTTTGATAGTATTTAAAGTCCATACCTATGCAATTTGATCATCTTGCTAATGAAAACTATCTACGTAATTACGTATGATAATTATAAAATTTGGTGAGATACCCGAAAAAAACATTAGAAGACATAATTGAAGACACATATTCTCCACTAGACGATTTTTTTTTAATTAATTGCCATTTCTTTAATTAGTTTCACTAATTAGATTAATTTTTAATTTGGACCAACGTCATTTTCCATACATATACCAAAGTTTCTAAGTGTTCATATGTTGTTTTTAACATGACCCATGGCCCACATATTGAATTTAGAACAAATATAAGGTGACAAATAATTAATGTAGGGACCTAAAAAATTATTTTCAACAGATTAAAATTTAATAAACGTTAGAAATAGTTGTACGTTATGAAGTTATTGCATGGGCTATGAGTGTTTTTTTAAATGGAAAAAATATAAGTCCAACAAGTACTTGATAAATAGACAGGTAGAATCAATTTGCTGAATGCTGACAATTTGTCATCTAATTGCAACGGTCGACTTAAAATTGTAATCATATTGATGTGATTATATGAACATAATTAATCTATGTTTTTAGATGTTGCTTAACAGTTAATGTTTTGTTGTTTGAATGATAGTTGTCCTTGCTAATTATATCAATTGTCAACGATATTATTAGGGTAACTATTGGATGGATGAGTTACAGCTCTTTCAAATTATCTTAAGATTACGACACATAAGCTAACAAAAATAAATAAACAAAAGGTGTATTTATTTGGCTTGAATAATTGTCAAACTCTCTATTTTTACCCTTCGTCACCATACCTCAACCATCATCCAATTTGGCGAAACAACTAGAAAAATGTATCATTATATTATACAAAGCTTGATCATACATTTCACATTCGTGTGTTATTCTTTTGAATTTATAACTCACATTATCCAACCTATATGTATTGATTTTTTGAATTGAAACTCGTTGATTAATTAAATGTTGATATCGATTGTAAATTTTTAATTATTAAAATATATAGCATGATCACAAGTGGCTTGTGCGTGGAGAATCGAAAGCATAATTGCTTTGAAGAATCTCCAACTAGTCAAATTTTTTTTTTTGTCTCCAAGTTGAGTAACAATATGATGATGAATTTAAACCTTACAAGAAAAGAACAGTTTATTGTTTAAACATTTAATACTTTCTTGTTCATCTTACTTGATAATTATTCCTTGAAGCTTGCCTAACATACACGAAGACTGCCTTAGGTGTAATAAAATCCTTAAAGTTAACTAGAAAAATTTAATGAAATCACATTTTTATAAGTTTTTGTCATACTAAAACAATGTAAAATATTGGTAGTACAGTTGAGAAAAATAATGGAAAAGTGCATAGACTTTTTCATCGAGGAATACTTTGTCCAACTGCATATTGACTCATGGTGTTGCGAAAAAGTAGCCAACCTTTTGTTGGTTAATAACCCACTACCTTGACCCCTGGTTATGCCTATGTCACTTATGTAATATTTAGGTATGGAAAACCCATATTAAATTTCAATCCTTAGGGTTTTTATAATCCATTTAACCTCGAGTGTTAAACCTTCACTATTAGTTATAATCTAGTGCAAGTGGATTAATACTATGTATTGCTGGACTAACTCCACCAAAAGATTAAGCTGATGGTTGAAACTCATAATCAATTTATATACTCTATCACGCTCTCTCACATGATCGATTCATATAATCATCATTACATAAGTCCGTATTTGTATCATTGTATGTAGTTCTACTCAGAACTTTTTGCTATAATTCTAATGTTTTGATCTAGTCAAAATACAACTAATTCACATATAAGCATTATGTAAATCAGTGATGAACATTAGACAGTAAACTACTAAAAGAAGGTTTTGGCACGTACAAATTTATAAACATATACTTGGTACTAGAAATTTAAAAGCCTTTGGGATTGGTATTATTTTAATTGAACTAATTCAACTACTACTAATGCTGAACACCTACGTTAAATCTTAAACATCCACATATCATATCGATACTCTATATTTTGTTAGATTCAATTTAAAAGGATAGTTATATACTTGGTATACTATTGTCTATTAGCTAACAACTACATAGTAAAATAAAACCAAGTTATTCACCTAACATGCATGAAGTACAACAACAAAATGGCATCAACAATAATTATTACAACCAATTACATCTTACATGTTCCTTATAATTGGCTTGTACAACGTAATTTCTACCATATGATCTTCAATATTCAATGGGAAATAAGTCAAAATGTAGTTTGTCTGTATTGGTGACAGTTATGTGTTATTTTGGTTGACCTATAAAATACTTGGTATAAAAGAAAATTGTAGTTGGGGCAATACTCATTTGTGGCAAGATGATATCGTGTTTCAATGGGAACTTGGAGAGTTGGAAATACACACATTACGCGGAAAAAAAGGTAGGAGTAACATCACTTTCATTTGTGTTCATCTTTATTTTGATTTATTATAAGTAGTTTGGGTAACCAAGTGAAATGTGAATGGTGAAGGCGTGAACCCGAAATTTTTAGTTGGACTCCCTATCCATAATAAATTAAAAAAGAATGAGTTGAACTTTTATGTATGATATTCTAGGGCGATTGATAAGAATGAAGAATTAAAAAGGAGAAATAGGATTAGATAAAGGGTAAATGCAGAAAGAACGTAATACGTAGTATATAATTTATTATTTCCTTGAACTACTATATTATGTACGGAACATCTACTTCATTATTTGTCATATTTAGAAGCGATAATATTTTTATGTTTGTGTATAGATTAACCATTTCCCCGAATCATGAGAATAGGCATATAAAGGATGCTTGCATAGCATAGAATCATTTGGTTATTCACTATTACGGCAGCACACCCTCTCTTGAACAAATGTCTATTTCACTAGTATACATACATATTATTCTCTTAACAACAAAGAAAAATCGTACAATACCAATATTACGGCAGACACCCTCCCTTGAACAAATGTCTATTTCACTGGCATACATACACATTATTCTCTTAACAACAAAGAAAAATCGTACAATAAGTCAATAACAATAACTATCTTGCCAAAGATACTTGTCCCCGAATTTAAATGATAGGGCACCATATAATATAACTGTTAATATTTCTCAATCAATAAGAAGTTAGATACACGATGCACAAGATCACTCTTACAGTCTTGAGTTGAAGCGTCTGAGCACTCCGAGCTTCAATGTTATAAGGATCCCAGCTCTACCAAGCTCTTTTAGTATTTCAGTTTCAAGGGTGGTAGTCGTGAAGTTCAGACAACATGATCCACTTTCAAGGGTATATTTAGACCTGGCAATCCTGACCCAAACCCGATGACCCGACCCGAATGACTCAACCCATGATCCAAAATTGACCCGAAATCAGTGACCCGAAATTGACCCAAAACCCGAATTAACCCGACCCGACCCATACCCGACCCGAAGTGGAACTGACCCGACCTTGACCCGAAACCCGAAATGACCCAACCCGAAACGACCCGACCCGAGATGACCCGACCCAAAGTTGACCCGAGACCCAAAACGACCCGACCCAAAGTTGACCCGACCCGATTATCGGCCGACCCGACCCAAACTTGACCCGACACGAACTCGACCCGACCCAATTATCGGACGACCTGAAATCAACTCGAAACCCAAAATGACCCGACCCGAACTTGACCCGATAATCTTTTGACCCGAACTTGACCCGACCCGAAATGACCCGACCCGAATGACCCATTTACCAGATCTAGGTATATTGGTATTATCAATAGTTAATAACTGATACAAAATGTCTGTGAATGGATCATTTGTCCACTCCAACTCTCCAATAGAAATTTCTAACTTTTGGATAACAATATGGATCCTAACTATTTGTAATAACAACAAAACATACAATACGTGAGAGTGCCCTCGAAATTTTTACCCTTCTAGCTCCAGTGTCTAATTTTCACATTGACAATGATAAGTTTACTTCGAATGGGTCCCTATACGCCAGAACAAATCTATCTAAGCTCAACCTGAAGTCCTGAAGTCATCTACAGTTCATCAATATCATGCAGTGGCATGGCATCTGGCAGAGAAGAAATTCCGAGCAGCTCTTTACCGTATAAGAGGAACAATACGAAAAAAACTAGAAGCATCATAAAGATTAAACCGATGATTAACCCAAAGCGCCTTTTAGGTGCTACTACGTGTTTTTTATCTGATTTTGCTTCACTTGTATCTTCATTATCATTATTGTTTTCACCAGAGTTTCTGTCTGTTACTTGCTCTGCTCTTTCCGTGCTGACCTCTGCAATCTCACCAGGTCTTTTATCAAATAATCCTTTAAATTGCTGCTTAGCTTTTCTTGCAGTTTCCTGATCAACGGTGAAAAATAGCAGTAAGAATTTGGTACAAACTGTATGGCCAAAATTCATCAACTTAGTGACAAAAATTAAATACCTGTTCCCTTTGCTTCAATTTTTGTAAGGCTGCTTTAGCATCAGATTCAGATGATTTGTCAAATTTCATCATCTGCAATCATTGAAAGACACGGTTACATTGCCATAATAGTTCATGAACAGAACACCTTAACGAAATACCTTGGCAACCTTGCTATTATGCCATCATTGGCGAGTAAATTACCTTATCGAAATTATTTTTTGCCTCCTCAAATTCTCCAAGTTCCATATAGGCCATTCCACGGCGATACAAAGCTTTGACGTGGGCAGGGTTGGCATCTAATACCTGCCACAATAAAACAAAATCCCAATAGGAAGAAAGATAAGCAGATGACAAACAACTCTTCCATTTTTCCATGTATAAAAGGAGTTTTACACCCTAACGTACCTTGTCACATGTTTCAATGGACTTTCTGCACTCCCCCATTTTCAGATAGCAGGCAGCAACATTTAAATGTAACATGTTCTTCGCGTCAAATCAAATAAGTTAGTAATATACTGAGTGAATATTACAGAAAATGTAAATGAAAAAAAAAATACAAACGATAATAAACCAATATTAGGACCTACTCTTGCATTCAGAAACTCTTTCCCCTCTTCATCATCCTGGGGATTAACATGATTAAAGTCCCGAAGCACCTGTAAGGATAATGATCTGGTATATTAGTAACAAAATTGCGGTGGCTTAGTCCTATTATTGTGAAAATCACACAAATTTAAACAAATATACAAAAGCCAAGTAGGCATTTAACAGTATTCAAAAAAAAAAAAAAAAAAAAGGCATTTAACAATGATACTGAAAGATCTAAACTCTGACAAAAATGTAAGCAATGCTTTTTTTTTTTTTTGAAAGCAAATTACTAAGCAATGCCTTTTCCCTCCTCACTTTTAATGCTTATATAAAGAGTGATCAATATACATAATTAAGATTTAGATCCTCTACTTAATTATACTACATGATTTTTTCACAAGTTTAGAATCATGCAAGTAAAGGCGACCATGTTAAAGAAGGAAAAATGTACCTTCTCATATTTAGCTTTTGCCAGTCCATACTTTCCTTCCTTGAAAAGCCTGTTACCCTAACAATGGACAATCAGAGAAAGTTTCAGTTTCCACATCTTTGAAGCAGAATTAACCAACCAAGAACTACAAAAGCTGCACAAAAAAATTCTACTGTATTTAACAGTGAAAGCATTAAATTCCAAGGTCATTGAAGAGTACAATAATAGAATTAAATGTCTGAATAGAAAATAACAGAACATGCATGATATAACAAACGGATCAGTAACTGAGGCAAAGCAACACTGATCCTGTAGATCAATGATAGTGCAATACCGTGGATCTAATATTCTCTGCCTCGGCCATAATACTTTTGAAATCCAAACCAGTCCAGTCCTGTCAAGAAAGACCGGTCTAATGTTAATCAGAAAGCAAAAAATCTCTCAGTACATGCACAAAATAAAATAAAAAACCCTTGCTAATCCTTCAAAACACAAAAACCTTGATGTTAATGCTTATGCATCTAACAGTTAAATCAAGAATCTATTACCCTTTGAGGATGAGAGAGTATTGTGTCAAGATGACATGCAATATACATGAAAGGGTGACCCTCCCATACAAGTTTTCCTAAGCTAAACTTCATACTACCCCGTTCCCTTGAAATCGTACACCGTAATAATCAACAATAAATGGTCCAGTTCTCAACTCAGAATTCATTTGGTGCTTGGTAAATACTACCCATCTACTCCAATTAAATTTCAAGCTAATTAAAAGAAAGTGGAAACTTGTATACCTTTGGCATCTCGAAATTAAGAAGTTCAATTTCCCATTCCACATATGCCCCTTCTGGAACATTAGCTGGCCTAGTAACCAAAAGCATGATGAGAGATGTAAATCAGCACTTTCAAACAAGAAGAATCATTGCAAGAGAAATTTATTTCATAAACAATGAAAAATATTGCTTCTTTTTTTTTTTTTTTTCCTTTTTCCAATTTTTTTTTTTTTTTTTTTTTTTTTTTTTTTTTTTTTTGAATAAGAGATTGAGAGAAACAAGATGAGAAAGTAACCTTGGAAACTTGTCATATGCATAATCAGGCGGACAAGTAACAAGAGCTAGTTCCCCTGGTAACATTAATCGTACAGACATTTCAAAGCCTTCTGGTACCTACAAAGGCAAAGAACATAAGTCATTCAAAATGTCACATTATGTGTATGTATGCAAGTATGCAGCTCCGTCCTAGTGAAAGCAGGCAAAGATGATGATTGATTACTTTAAAGAGTCTAACCAATTGACTAACTGTGGAGCAATATGCATGCAAGAAATTGGTTATTCCAGACCTAATTGGAAGATGATAGGCCCACAAGGAAACAATGACAAGCAAGTGCGCAATGACAACCAAATGTGCACGATATACAGATTCTATTATTAAGAGCCAAAACAAAGCCAATTGTATTCCCACCACCATATGATTTCAGCTACACAGCACTCTGCTGCCAAGGCTTCTATGACACATTATTCAATTGACAAGGAAAGATCTCGTCATTTCTCCAACACTTCAAAGGTAATAAACAGAATTAACTCCTTCCATCCACATTCAGGTGTAGTTTAGATTTATAGGCAGAAATCAAGGAGGGTTAACAAAGGGATAAAATTATTCGTATTACAGTATAATTTTAATGACAAAGTGACTTCCAAATATAAAAGTTGAGGGCAGATTAGAATAAATACATCGATATTTGTAAGATGCAGATTAAAAAAAAATTATTGTCGAGTTGATAAGAATTGCTTTGTGCTTATTTTGAACAAAAAAAGGCATCTGCATATACACTCTTCTAGAATAATACTAACAAATAGGCCAATCCATATTAATGCAAAGGGCAGGGGAGTCTTTCTCTTCTTGATAACAGCAACTATATCGAACAGCAAATATTTTTTTTAATGCATTTTGTTTTATCCTCTTTATTTATACAATCTACAGTACATAATGTGCACGATAAAGATAACAACTCACCAGGCCTTCTCCAGAACAGAACTCTAGTGGCTGACCATCATTATCAATTCTTGTATCATAGAAGACTGTCTTCTTGTCATCCAGAAGCATGCCCTTGCAATGGACACATAGTTGACTGTCCTGAAGTGGGCAGTCCATGGGAAATTCCCCTAGTAATCACAAAGAATGAGAAAATCTTAAACATACACCAAATGAAATATTGCAAGGGCTGATCAAAAACAGGATCAAATAAACCATAATTGATTAAAACTTATACCCCACTCTTTTCAGTATGTATTATCAGTAAACCAGACCAGATATCTTTGGGAGGAAAATTTCAGTGTCATAGCTCGAATAATATAACTATTGAATGCAATATCAATCAGCAACATAATTATAAAAGCAGCGAAAAATAATAATTTTGAATAATGCAACACATTGGAGTTACTGGATTACAAAATTACAGTACAACTAGTCATTCAAAACCCACCTAAGAAAAGAAAGAAAAATAAATGTAAACAGAATCGAGAAATGAGTTTGATAAAGAATTCAGAGAAGCCAAAGCTACCACAAGTACATACTGGCCATAGCACACTACAATATGGAATCTGAGGAATGCAAAGCTTGGCAGATCCGTAAATTCCATTAAAAGAGGAGGTATATACAAACTGAATCGAGAGTACAATTTGCAAGCCACAACAGCCTGCTAGAATGCATGCATAGAATAATCATAATATGTACACAATGTGACTACAGCTTTTCACCTCCACTATTAACATCCAGAAGCTAGTGAAAGATGTGGACTGATGAAAAAAAAAACAAACACAGACATACACAAGATATCATCTGGTATTATCTAATCAACGTATAATATCAGAATCCAAACCACAGACATACACACTCACAAAAACAAACAAACAAAAAAGACTTGAACCTTCTCCATCACGGATCCGTCTCTTAATGAGTCGCCCATCTCCAAGCACATCGCGGACCTGACATTACAGAAAACCCATTATCATGACCTCCTAATCTAATCATAAAAGCATTCAGTTGATCACTCAAATTGAACAATAAGTATTTCTCAATTCTCAGAAAACATGGTATATGTCACAGATATATACCAGCTCATGTTGAAGTATCGAGAATTCAACATTGACACCTGAGGCTTGGCCTAGAGTACGGATGACATAGCTCACAGCTACATCATAATATATAAATGGGGCATTTATAATCATCTAACTAAACAGTTAGGAGGAGATAGAATAGAAGAATGTGATCATGATGTCAAAATGATACAGAGTAATATTTTAAATATTAACATTCATAAGCCTCTCATATGAATTTCATGTTATCTGCTACCAGATTGTTGCAGTGGCCACGTAACTCACTAAGATGATGACTGACTAAGGCAATTTGGTGAAAAGAAACTACTCAACACTTCAAGAGCATACTTTATCTTACTGAAAACTCATCAATGGAAAAAGTTAGTTACACAATTTTCAGCAAAAAGACAATTTTATCAATCAAAAATAAAATAAATTGATACACACAAGAAAGCAAGAATGCATGATTATTTTAGAAAGATGAAACAAACCTGGACAAAGTGAACTAGTTCCACTTCAAAATGAACTTCTTCCAGACCTTTTATTTGAGGAAGGACTGAACATTCAGTCAAGTATTGATTGGTTACATAGATCATGGCCTTCTCCCTCCTTGTCATAGTTCCGATTCCCATCTCAAGACCTTTAGGCAACTGTCAACACATAGATTTAAAGTGTTTAGGCATCATTTCCATGAAGAACAGGAAGAGAGGTGATCCTCAAGATAACTTCAACCAATGGCATGTCAAGCCAATCCAAATGTAACAAACTAACCTCTGAGTTTCCAAATGTAAAGAAAAACAGTTCTCCCTCAACATGACTCCAAATCAACCTTCCATCTGCAGTTTTTGCAGATATCCTGAAATGAAGCATAATTTACATTAAGAAATTAAGGCCAATGTTCACAGTTCATTGTTCACAACAAGAATGCGAATATTTTGATTACAAGAAGGTGGTTTTTTTGGTTAAGTAAATTTAATCTTCAACAGAGAAAACAAAAGAACTTTTCTTTTAACATGTTCAGAAGGAGCCTTTTTTCACCACAAAAAAAAAAAAAAAAAAAAAAAAAAAAAAAAAAAAGGTTAGATTAATGCTTCACCAAATAGGCACAATCCCCAAATCCCAAATGTACGAAATTTTCATTTCTTTCAAAAAATGAAACTTCCAGGTACAAGGCTCCTAAGCCAATAAGATAGTTTCCCTTACACCAAGTCAATCAAACACCATCCTAACTGCCATATCATATCCGCCATAGTCTAACCAGCACCTCGCAACCTCTAGAAACCATACTGGAATTCACCAATCAAGCAATGACAAGAGACAACCACTGCAAATTGTAGAGGAAACTAACTTAGCCAAGAATCATGCCCCGGCATTTTCTCTCTCTATCCTTTCCTTGCTCTTTCTAGTTATGGATATAAAACCAACTGACCCGTTGTAGTGGATTGTAAGAAAAATCACTTATAAAACTTCAAATAAGCATCAAGTTAAGTTAGATCAAACCAAGAAACTAAAGGAAAACAGAGATATGGCAGTTGGCGCAGGAAGAATCATATACCAAGCTTTTACTTCATAAGGAGCCCTAGGCGACTCCCAACCTTGCCCGTCTTTTATGACCTGCACATGTAAAGAAAGTATAAATGCACTGGAAGAAACGAGATATTATGCTAGTACTACATGAACTTCATTTTGTGATATTACCCATCAATTATTTGGGGAAATGGGGGTAAAATGAGACATTGTCTTTAATCTTTTTACGTATGGGCCGAGTACAGCACCTAATTACTAATGCTAGACAATGTATCATGCTAAAGAAGAGAAAATGATATGTGGCTCTGTCAACTGGTTTAACTTCTAGACACTTATTATATCGAAGAGCATCACTCAATCACATATACCACAGGTTACCTGTAATAGACTGAAATTACTCGATGTAATAACAGTACAACGAAAGAGAAAACTCAGAAATTTGATTAAACAAATTAATGGTTTTACAACGATAGTAGTAGGTTTAGCCTACAAAGCTCCAATAGTGACTTTAGGTCACAACTCTCCTAAGAAACTACTCCAAAATTCTGCCCTGTCTATTTCCTTCTCTTCCCTCTCTATTTATACTAAGGAACCCTAATAAACTAATAAAACTAGAATAACTATACTACCCCTCCAATACCTATACTACCCCTCCAAGTTAGTCTATTACATTACCTGCCAGTATAACTTATACATATGTATACCTATCAAAACACTCAGACCAGACAAGGATCAGAGGAAACCAGAATCTGAACAAGTGTTCTATTGCAGACTGTATTAACAATCCAAAATCATGAGCCAAAATAAATAAGACAACTATTCAGCACTATGAACCTTCTCATGCTTTCTTTTTATCCTAGAACACGTCTCTAGAATATTGAATTCTGCAGTTTTACGACATGTTTGCTATGTGTAATGCGTTGGGGATAGCCGGATAGGGGATGGACAAATTAGGAATTGCATTACAATTCAATTAAAAGTAGCATTAGCAGCAAGAAGAGGAAGATCAGTTAATCAATAATCAGACGAAATTAGGAAGACATAAATGATGAAGAATTTTATCAAGTGTCATTTTAGTTTCAATTTGTACCTGAGAGAGATACTCTCAAAAGCTAAATACTACCTCCGTTACATATTATTTGCAACGATTAGACATTTTTCCTCTCTACTTTATGTCAAATCGTTGCAAATAATATGTAACGGAGGTAGTATCAATTATATCTTCTGTAATTCTCATATAATCAATCAAGTTCATCTCCCTCTAATTTTGCCCAGAATTTCAGTTTATTACAATATAGAAGAGAATCTAAAAATCTTTTCCAGACAAGAGTTTCAGTTCATTAAACTATGATAAGAAAAATGGAAATTATATGCCAAACGAGATCGTGATCTTTTACATACCTTTTTCACAACTCCGAGATCTTCAGAAATAACCTGAAAATAAAACAAGTTTGATGTTTTAAAAATAACTGTGATTTTTATACAATAGAAGCTAAACTTCATGCCTAAATATTTTATAGGCACCCAAACAGCCCAAGGTACTTGAAATCAAAAAGGACAAAATATGAACTGTGATCTTCAATGTTACCTCACAAAATGTAAATAATCTCATTCTTGCCTTATTATAAATATTGTTTGTCAGTAATTTCCTTTACAAAAATTTTCACCACAAAGTAGACATTATAGTGTTATCATATCAACATACAACATTTAGTGAAAAATAAATCTTACCTTAGCTTTGCCAAAATCAATGAGTTCCATCTCAAAGTTGAGATCAACATCCTTTGGGAAGCCCTCTGAGACTGGAACTGGGCAATCAGGCTCACCATAATGCATCCCAGATTTCATCCTGAACTGCATACAAATGATAATAGCAGAATGATAAACCCAAAGGAGGATTTCAGAACCTAAAAATCATCAAAATGCATGACAATACAGAAGCAGAATCAGCAGGCCAGCATCTTCCTTAGATACAGAGTATTATCTTTCATTACTTTGTGATGCAATCAGAAATCATCTACGAGTCAGCACTCAGCACCAATAAGCAATAGCCAACTTTAAGGTGCGTCAAAAAAGGACCTATAACTTTGAATTTCCCATGTCTAACATATAAAAACAACTTGAGACATTAGCTTACTGTCAATATACAGCACCTATAAGTATCACGAGGAAAGTTCATATGATCAAATCACACACATCCACACAATTTTGGAAGATGCAAGAAGAAAACCTAAACCCTCAACACCTATAGCTAACACATCTCTTTGCAGCAAGCATATATGTCCTTACAATCTGAAACCACATCTGTCTTTGTTTTTCTGTTTACCCCTCCCAAAGATGAGAAGATCCAGAAATTGGAATTTCCTTTATTGCTGTTGATATTGTCTTCAACATTATACATTTATATGTTATGTTGATATTGTATAAAAAGCTTACTAAACAATTTGTCTGTAGCACTAACAGAATATTACCATGCAAACTTCACCCTTCTGCATTGTAGGTATTCCTTCAAGCAATCCCAGTATCATCTTGCTTTTACCCAAAACTTGCCTTATAGGCGCTCCCGTACCTGCTAGAGCAGAGATATTAATAATATATACGGCATCAAGGTGTAAATTTAACTTTCAAAAAGCATCAAATACAAAGCGACCAAAGACCGTAGATGATAGCTAAAAAAAAAATTCTGCAAGCACTAAAGATGACTAATAATAGCACCGAATCAAAATCCATTGTAATTAGTTGAGATTTAGAAAATCACAAGTTTCACAACCAAAAGTTCAACGCACAAAAATTATCAAGAACCAAATAGCCGTTTAGAAAGTATCACTAGAGAATAGAGACTCAGACAACAAATTCCTTACCTAAAGATGATGACAAAGAGGAAAATAATCTAAGAAAAGCATAACAAGAGACCAATGGAAAAACAGAAATCTAGATAGCAACTTCTGGTTGCTGCACATGACACGATACTAGCTAATATTTGTTGCATTTGGATGAATCAAGAATCTAGAATATTTTAGTATCTAGAAGCTCTTTCTAATTTGTGGGGGAGTAAGAGACATTCTTGGAGCCACTTTGGGCGAATGGACTTTGGATATAACGCTTTCCATTTTCCAAGGATACCCTTTTCCAGTCCCTGTTTCACTTACAGGATGTCATATCTTTCTTGCACTTTCTTTTTTCTTCCATCGTCAATATAGCATTTTTCAACCTCGTAGAGTCCAGGAGAGAAACACAGAGATGCAACAGAAAAGTGGCAGAAACAGTAGCAGGCTAGCAGTAAGAAACTAAGAAACAGATCGTTGCTCTTTTATAATAAGATGCCTCAACAATTTGACCAATGCTTTGACACTTACAGTCTTACACGCACAAAATAAATGAAGTTTCACTAATCCAAAACCTTCCCATGATAAGTGGCGAGAAAGAGACTAATAAGATCATTAGATCACAACAAAGAATAAAAGTACAATGCTTTCGTTGTTAGCGCTTAGCAACTAATATAACCACATGGCTGATATTTACATGTTGGAAACGCTTAGCTGAATATACAATTTAAGGTGAAAGACAATTGTAATAACCAACAATGTATTAAGGAAGAACACTAACATCCAACATTAAAGCCATTATGGTTGATCGGTCCAAGAAAGAGTTCAGCAATTAATATAACAACATTAGTTTAAGTCTCGGGGGCAGTACTCAAGACTTCATATCGATTCCTATCCCGTCTACATCACTGCCCTTTGCGGCTTCTAATACATTCCAAAACAACATATATTAAGACAAGGAAAAAAAAAAGGTTATACCGAGTTACCGACCTCCAAAATCTTTTCTGGTAGAGTAAACACCAACTCCTTCCATTGTACGCACAGTGCAATGGTAGATTACCTAAATAATTAGGAAATACAAATTATTTCATCAAAATTAAGAAATACTTTACTATACAATAATCATGGCAAAATTAATCATCAAAATATGATATAATTATGAAAATTTAATCATCACAAACCTACCTGATCACCATCAGAAGGTGTAGATTCTCCTCCACCAGGTCTCAATTCAGCTTTCAACAACCCCCCTGGCACAAGATTCTTCTTCCTTCTGAAATTAGAAACAAAATTGATGAGAAATTCATCACAAAATGAAGCAATTAAATCTGAAAAATTGCCAAAAAAAAAAAAATAATTGAACCTTTTATCATCTTCGGAAGGCTGCTTCTTCTTCGGCGGAGGCATGGTGTCCTGCTCCACAGATTCCAATACCGCCATTAGACTAAAATGATGAAGAAATTGCTCGTAATTTGGTAGAAATCTTCAATTTGAGTGAAATTGCCCCAAATTTTGCACGCAAATAGCTTAATTATGAGCAGAATTTGGTAGAATAGAGGAGATTAACGACAGAAATTAGGGATTTGAATGATTACTCTAAAAAAATTAGGGAGTGAATTGAAGTGGAGTGGTTAAGTTAATTTGATGGTTGAGGAGCTAAGTACGCCGTTACTAATAATATACGTACTTTGGCCATGTTCTTTTGAGATTTTGGGCACATTAGATTTCAAGTGCGAGCAGTTTAAAAGAACATGGCCTTTGTAATTCAATTACATCTGTATTATTTTATTTTTTTACGGGGTAGTTTAAGTTAGGAAAAATGTAAATTAATAATCCCACCTTTAGTCGGTCTTCTATAAACAATCCCACCTTTTGAAATTCCAAAAATAATCCCACCTTTAACATGGATCTTCCATAAACGATCCCTATGACCTATAACCGGTTAAACCGGTCAAACTTTTTTTATTTTTTTTAAATTCATCTTCTTCCACCTTCCTTGAGTTCCTTCTATGAACTGCCACCAAAATTACCACCAGTCCACCACCTCCTCAACTCCTCACTTGTCATCGGCCACCACTCACCCAGCCATCACCAATCGCAACCCTCACACAACACCACCAACCATAAACACCTTTCCACTCCTCCACCAGCAAGCCCCCTAACACCCACGCAACCTCTAGCACCACCTAAAGGCTAAAGCCCGAAAACCCCACACCCACCATCCACGACTTCTTCCGCCGCGATTCAACAAACCCACCCTCCAAACAAAAATCCCACACATTATCGATCCTCAAACGCAGCGTCGCACAACGCGCCACCACTGCAGCGCCTACTTGCAGGCCGCTGATCCTCCATATCTAACAACTACAACATCAATTCACACCCACAAATCAGCCCTAAAATGGGTAAAATCATCCCCAAAATTAAATTAAGAAGGAATAATTTGGGTCGATTATGGGCTTTGGAGCTTGCAAACTCCGTCTCAAGCCCCCAGAAAACCAGACCCATCCCTGAAAAATCAACCCCCAACCATGACAAACTCCATCCCGATCCCAAAATCCCCACCTAGCCCTGAAAACTCCCCCCGAAAACGCCCTAACCACCCTAAAAAAAACCCCTTTGTCAAGCTTCCGATTGGCTGATTGAGTTGTTGGGGAAGGCAGGGGCAGGATGAGGAAGGGAAAGGGGGTCGTTAGGTGGCTGTTTTTTTTTTTTTTTAATTTTTAAAAAATAGAATAAACCAATCAATAGTCAACACGTGTCTTGTAATCTAATAAAACCGGTTAGCAAAACAATCCAACCGGTCATTGTTAGTGGAAGATCCCTATCAAAGGTGGGATTGTTTCCGAAATTTCAAAAGGTGGGATTATTTGTGGAAGACCGATTAAAGGTGGGATTATTAGTTTACAATTTTCCTTTAAATTATTTAAGCTACACAAATTCATAATTATATTGGGACTTTTATTAAATTATTATAAGACGGGATAAAGTTATCTTAAATTCTTAAGTAATTAAAGTTATCGTTTTTTTAAAAGGTGTTTAGTTTAGTCGTTATATGTGCTAAATTTCTTAAAATAAGTTTAATCGTTATATGTACTAAATTTCCTAAAATAAATTTTACCCTTAAAAACATTATTTCGTATAATGTATTAGATAAATCATACAATTATTAGTCTTTACAATATGTATCGATTAGAAATTAACATAAAAATTGCTAGTAAAGATCCTATTTTATTTATAAAAAAAAAATACATAAAATGATCGGATCAAATTAAATTTTATTTTTCTACTTGTATTTAAGTTTATTTCGTGGTTTAAATAATACAGAGTAGTGAAAATTTTATATTTGAAAAGTGTATTTTAATATAAATCTAATAACATCTTATTTAACAATATTCTATCTTACAAATAATGTACAAATAAAATCAATGTTTAGGGCTTGTTCACTTCAGCTTAATTTCAGTTCAGTTCAACTATCAGTTCAGTTCAGTTCCGCTCCTAATTTCCTTCACTCATAAAATATTCATTTCAACTCAATTCAGTTTAGTTCAATTCAACTCCAATCAGTTTAGTTCGATTCAGTTCATCTCAATAAATGTGAACTGGCCCTTAGTCAAATATGAAGATTAGATTATACGAGCTAACCATAGTCAAGATAATATTTAGAGGGAGTATTTACTATTTAGAAACGCGTTATGCCAAATTCATTACTCTTGATTTTTCAAATGTTACACTTATCTTAATTTGGATTTTTCAAGTGTTACTATTCTTTTTTCTCTTTTTTTTTTTTTTTTTTTTTTTTGACAACCTACTACTTTCACATTTTTTACGAAGATTATCATCTGTTTACTCCGTATCTCTACACTCATTGTTCTTTAGAACATGGCAATTATGGAAATACGTGGGTAAGAAGATATGAATTGGTAGCTTGTACTCAATTTGGTTTGTATAAGATTGCCAAAATGCATAGTTTGATGGGTAAGTTCCCAATTGTCGAAGGAGAAATTATACTAGTATTTACAAATTAGGCTTTGGTGCAAAACACGGCCACATCATGCAAGTTTGGTCAGTTTCATAGGCTCCATACGGCACCAAACCTTTCACCACAAGTTTATATCCAAATGATAGCGAGACTGCGAGAGTAATCTGACACATTAGACATGGATGAATATCTGCTTGTAACAATATCAACAAAGTCTTGCACCCATATGGTAGATTGGTAGGTGGTATTGGTAAACCAAATTTGGCATAATGTTCCTGCTTGTAAAGAGGCGCCTCGCTGTTCCTTTTATTATGCTCATTATCATAAATAAATAAATAAATAAAAAATCGCGGTCTTATTAAGATCATGATGAGATATTTCCAGCACCTTATTGTTTTAAAGGATAGTCAGCATAACTAAATACAATGCACAATGACAACTGACAAGTATCCAACTATCAACCCTTTGGAAGCTGCTTACTTAACAATTTCTTGAAGGAATCTCTTCACTTGACAATTTCTTGAGACTTGCACGGGCTTATAGTTGCGATGTATGAGCCGAGGAGTAATACACACTTGGCACCAGTGCACCACTGTACCTGAAACTCATCATCAGACAATGATAGATGCAAAGTCAGAGGGTAAACTATCAAAACTATCATCAAACCTGACACACAATAATTCCTTTTATAGCAACATCCAAATTTACTGAATTTGACAAGGTGAGCTCATGCTCGCTGCATTTCACAAGGAAGAATTGGTGACATAACTGTTACTGCCACCAAATTCCAACTACCAAGTTTCGAAAGGATGAAATTTGGCCTAACAGGATCACTACTCATTCAATTCTTTAATATAGAAAAAAAAAAAATCCCTGTCAAGGTCTGAAAACCATTATCCTTTGGAAGCCAAAGCAAGCCCTTAATTGATGAGGAAAAAGGAGAACAGAGAGGCCAAAAAATAATGTCAAACCCGGTGCATTTCAGGATTTTAGGGCACTAACCAACTGAATCATTGTAACATGCCTAAGAGAAGAAAATACTATTGACCAAATATCCTCTACAGGTCAAATTACATGTCCACAACATGCAGAGAGAGCAAGTAAATCAAAATCTCCAGTTACGTAGAGGGTAATGAATAGGAAAATCAGAAATTTTCTCCCTGAGTTACTTTAGCCCAGGTTCACAGGTTGGGTGTGTTATTTCTAAGACAATCAAAACTGTAAAAGCAAACAAAGTAAACTAGTAGAGCAAGAAAATTACATAACGGGATTTCAAGATTTCATTTAAAAAAAAAAAAAAAAGTTGAATCACATCACTAGTCATCAATCTTGAACATGATTTTGGTGGACAATTGGACATGCATCAGTCCAAGATCAGAATACACTTTAGTTACAATCAAACGGGAAATTCTTTTGATAAGATTTCTGCACACCTTAAATTAATTTTTACACTATATATTAAAGAGGGAGAGTGCAGAAGTCAGCTCCGGAGTACAGAAATCCCTACTACTACCTCCGTTAACAGTTATTTGCAACATATACTATAAATGGATGCTAACTATTATGTGCAACAAATGTTTTCTTTCCTATTTAGGTAATCATTTCTCCCTATCTCTCTCCTCATCACATGCACCCAACTTTTTCTCTCTCCATTTTATTCTCACAAACAAATTTTGCCTAGAAGTCCGCAAACACCCCCTTTGTTGCAAATAATAGTTAACGGAGGAAGTATTTAAATGTCTTGGTTTTTCCCCTAATTATATCATACTAGCACAATAATCTCTCGTTATTTATATTCCATTATACTTTTGTGTCACTGTGGTGAACTGATGACAGACTCGCATGGTATTATTTTTCTAGATACTAGCATTATCATGTAAAATTAATAATCTGACCTAAAAATTATAAATTTCAAAAACTATCACAAAAATCCTAGGATTTACCTTGGAGGTGGATCTTTTACATATTTCACATAATTTCTCCCCTCATATCAAGACAGAGATTAAGTGTTAAGAAAGCAAAGCTGAAGGAACAAGGAAGCTTGCTGATATTTATCTTTTGGGTGGAGCGACGAATAAGTAAATCTAACCTGCCACATATCAAGTGGTAAGAGATTTTTTATTTGACTTACCCGTCATAATTTATCTATCAGAAGACCAAATCGGCTATGGAAACAAAACCCAGGCGAATTTCAGCCTAAAAATCAAGAGGGGCCACATTTTTTGGACCAGAATAGACTAACTGGACTAGAAACTAACGCACATTAGTCCAATTCACAAGTCAAAATTGAAAATTTCAGCCAAAACCTGAACTATATCCTGGGCCAGAACTGATCAGCTCAAAAATTCAGCTAATCTGGATAAAAATAACAACACCAACCCCCCCCCCCCCCTTCTCTGCCACTTAAGATCCAAACTTTGGTGGGGTTTTCCAGTCCATTCATTTCAACAGGCGTACAAATGATAAAATCAAGTAAATATCTTAAACAAAATACTATTTACAATGAATTCGATCACAAGGACATACCAGACTGTCAAAAGCTTCTTTGGGGATGTAAGATCGTGCTAAAACAGAATTTGCTTGAGCTCAAAAACCATAGACAATGGCAAGTGAATGCAAAGCCAAGAGCAGTTAAAGATGTGCATTTAGCCAGAAGCCCTATGTGGAGGCGGCCCTTTTAAACCTTGAGCTTTCATCATACACAAATACTTGGGGGGTGGCACAGCACCAGCCTTCATGCAGAGATCTATTACAGCAGGTGCGTGTCCATAATAATTGCGGTCTTCATGCAAAAGTGCTGGAGGGTCTTGAGGCCGACGAAACCACACCATTTTAGGTGGTACCAAATCATCTACACCTGCCTTTTCCCAGAAATGATTACCTCGCCAATTCTGATACTTGAATACTCCACAAAGTCGGGCCTTATGGCCTGATGGCCCCACATGAACTTCTGAACAGTATTTGCAGACCTTAGCTGAATAGACTAACAAGAGCTTTTGCACACCATGTCTAAGAATTTCCCATGCGCTTAATGTTCGATTTCCTATGGCTTTCAGTTGATCTGCAGACAAGGAATCAGGTCCGCTCAAATCAAGATCTACATTAGGGTCAGACAAAGAGTTCAAAGATTGAATATCCAAATCATGAGGAATAGCTCCTGCCTGACAGCACAGTTCAACAACAGCAGGAACACGATCAAAATCAAATCTTTGCTGGTGCTTGATCACATCTTGGACCATGTTATCGAGATGGAATGTCTCCACGGGGACAAGTATATCATTTAAACTTGCCCTGATCCATTGATGAGCCTGATTCTTGTTCAATCGTCTGTGGCCATGGCACGAACGAATAAGGTGACCTGTCTCACCAACATATACTTCCGGACAGTACCTGAAAGAAGTTGCACCAATCAAAAGTAGAAAAGATAATGTTACTACAAAATCTGAAGTAGATAGTACCAAAAACAAAAAGTATTTGAAAACAGCGTTCAAGAAAGAATATTTTACTTGAATCTCATAACTCATCATAAAGGACAGTGATATAAAAGTTGCAAGACTTCACAAATACACAACAAACAAATGAGAAATTTTCTGAACCACTTTTGGACAATGCTGGATGAATTATTGGCATCCCCTGTTATACACCCATATATTTATGTTCCTATATAATTATTTCAAGAAAGTAAGTTTGACTTGAGTCTCTTAACTCAACAGAAAGGGGTTGCCAAAGATACATAAGCATCAAGAATTTAAGAGTACACAACAAACAAATGAGAGAATCGTCGAATCACTAATCTGCCAATGATAATTAAACTAATGGGATCACTTTAAGTTTTAACAGGCTTAACACATATGAATAAATGTTGAAACAGAAACCCAACAAGTGTGATTCTTTAGCTTTCTGTTTTTAAATATCAACAAGGAATTAAATGCAACACAACTAAGGGCAAATGAATCACTATGTTAATAAATAATTAGTAAAAAAAAAAAAAAAAAAAAAAAAAAAAAAAAAAAAAAAAAACCTACTTGCAGGCTCGTACTGGCAACACCTTGAGGAGTGCAGAGACACCGCAGATGACGGCAGATCGAGCTTGAAGAACTTCTTCTGCAATAGGAATCATGGATCGGATTGGATATCCACTAGACCTGTTTTCTATCCTCTGCTTTATCATTGGCCTCAGCTTATTCCAGTCAATCTTTGTATTATTAGCATACCATCTTCTTCCCATCACATTAGTCTCTACATTAGCTATCAACATTCCACTCAAGATTTTACACCAATTCTTATGCTTAATTAATGCCATGTCTTGAAATGATTGCTCCAAGGAATTAATTTTTCCAGAGTAATAGCTGAAGAAAAGTTTGCACAGTCTGGCTAACGAGCCGTAATGAGACTGCGAATTTAGGTCCACGAAACAGTCCAAACCTGGCCCAGACGTCTAATACAGTAATACATAAAAAAAATTGAGAGATATTCAAACTAGATGGAGACAGAGATCAGGTCAAATCTAAAAATCAGGCAAACAGATATCTATAAATTCGATCTAATGCAGTAACAATGTAAGATTTAGTGCCGAAAGAGATATATAGAGAAAAGAAATAGTGCAATTTAAATCAAAAGTAGGGAAAGTACTTAAAATTTGGAATGAGGATGCAAATTCATGAATCATCCAATACAATGTTCAGTTATGTAGTTCAATTGAAAAATTGAATTAAAACCAATTTCTTCATCTTCTACATACTAGCATTTCGCTATGAATAACTACTCTTATCTGATAATTATAAGTTCTAGTATGAAAGAAATCAAACTCATTACAATATGAAATCGAACCTCTACACACCCAACAAGGTAAAGCCCATTACACCTAAAAACACACCCATGAACTTGTGAAGATAAAAACACATATCACATCGAAACTCATTTGACATAAAACTACATACACCTTTTACATTAAATGTCTTAGGACGCATTGCAACTTGTATTTCACTCTAAAACTCATCACAACCTTTTAAACAAAGACTAACACTTGATACACCATACAATTTGAGGATAAATTCATTACACTTTCTTCACAGGAAAATCGATACACTAAAACACCTCCCAACATGCAATTCCATTACAATTTTTTACTTGATGTAAACACCCATATAAAAAAAGATACACCTTCAATGCCTCGCCTTTGCCAAACAACTCAACATCACAAAAAGAACATCCAATTCAGATATTCCCGTCAACCGATATCATATATCCACATCAACTGATATCAAATATCCACATCAACCCAGTCCCTGATCGAGGGCAAGAGGGGCAGATAAAAGTCCTTTTTTTTTTTTGAATGAATAGTTTGATTCTAACAATTGAAGGGTTACATAAACAAAAGTCAGCCAACAACACATTAGCAAAAAAACAACCAAAATTGTATCATTTATCTGAGTAGGCTCGAAAAATTACAGAATAGTATAGTATAACAACAGCAACAATCGAAACCATTATACAAGATTTTATCTCATGTACTCATCAACCATGATCTTCTCTTTGAATTCCCTTTTATGTAATGTTTTCTTGCTTAAGTATAAGGATAGCAAAATTCTAGCAACAAAATTGCTCGTTACAATCTTTCATAACTTGAAAAACTATAGCCAATAGTTCAATAATCCACCTTGGAAGAACCCTAAATTGACTATACTAACAATTAAATCAACGATTAACACTAGATTTTGAAATTGATATTCGATATTTTACCTCATAAGCAGCTTCAAGAGAAGAGAGAAAGTGCAATTCAATGGAGGAGTGAGAGGGGGGCGAAGTGCAGCGAATCAGCGCAGACGTTAACAGGACTATGGGAGGGCAAAGGGTAAACAATTAACTTGAAAAGCATTAGTTTGGTTTATTGTTTCAAACTTACGATTTGATTTTTTTTTTTTGGTTATACCGGTTTATCTTTTGGACTAGTCGGATTTAAGGCTCAGAACGGTTAGGTTTCATAACCTTCTCAATTGTTATTGTGGGGGGTTTCATAACTATTACGCTAACAACCAATTGATATTTACGATTTAGATTCAAATCAGCAATTTTAATATTCAATTTTGTTTCTTAAAAATTTAAAATCAAACTACAATAAAAAGTGTGTTTTCGTTACTTTATTATATCTGGACTTTTAAAACTTATCAGACCAATCTAAGATCACCAGGGGCACTCTATCTCATATTTTACTGTCATATTTTAGCATCTATAAGCAAAGGCAATATGTAATGTCATTTGTATTTTTGGCTGCTCTAACTTATCCTTGCTTCAAAATATGTACATTCACCGAATTATCTAGACACATATGAAATTTTGTGATTAAACTAATAACTATTTTTAAAATTTAAAATAATTAATATACTATATAGTACTGTAAAACTCCAAACCAAACCACACCAAACTATTTTTGTTTAGCTCGGTTGGACATGAAATATGGTTTAACTAGTATAGTACCCGGTGCATTGCACGATGGTGATAAGTAATTTTTCCATATTTATTTTATATATTGATGCCAAAATCAACTTCCATATTTTTAGTTTTAAACTTACCTAATTTTAAAATCTAGCAAATAAAAGGAAAGGCCAAAAAAAATTAAAAGGAAATTTTAATGAGAGTTTGACACATAGGACACTTTAAGGATTAGATAACATCAGCACGTTTTGTTTTAGTAATAGTTAATAGATAGATTTGCTTATTTAAGTCTTTAACCGTCTTTTGTGATTTTTTTTTTTTTTGTGTGTGTGTGTGTTCCACCTGGTTCACCCTTCGGGCTAATCCAAATTCGAGATCAGTTCTGAGTTGACACATTTTTTTTAAGTGTAAAATAAAAAACTTTTGTTTACACCCGATTTATAATAATAATAGTGTAAATCGAGTCGTATAAGGATAACTTTTAGCTAATTTTAGGATAAATTTTTGCCCTTTTTGGGTAACTTTAAACATGATATAATTTTTATATTAATAGACAACAAAAAAAAGTTTTATAAAGGTAATTTAATTACGTACAATCACTAATAATGGATTTTTAGTCAATTAATAAAATGTGATTCTTTACTAATAAAGCGTAGATAATTTTTATTTATATAATGGAATACGGAGTAACTTTAATTTATTTTAAGGATAACTTTTGTTCATTTTAAGGTAACTTTATAACGGATTTAATACAATTTTTTATTGTACATCTTTTTTTTTTTTTTTTTTTATTTTTTTTATTAAGTTTGTAGTGTAAAATTACTGTATCGTGGGCTTTGAGGAACTCAACTAGTCAACTATGTAAAGAAGACAATGTAGAGTTAAACTATAAATTGTCTAGTTTACCACATTACTGCCTTCACCAAATTAACTACTCCTCTTTTTCTTCAAAAAAAAAAAAAAATAAAAAAATTAACTACTCCTCTTTTAATCTGATCTATTACTCCCCCTATCGCCACCGTCTCCACCCCGGAATTTGACATACACTACTTCCACTTTTCAAGTTTCCGAGATTTCACTCATCAATCAAAAGGTAAATCTTTACCAATTTTTTCTAAAACCTAAAATTAATTCGCTATTCATCTTTTTAATCTCTAATTAATATGTTTCATATTCTCTGTATCATAAAATCTGCTATTTCTTACTATCAATTTGATTTTACCCTAATTTTGACGCTAGTTAGTTGATGAATTGATGTATAAAATTGAGTAGTTTTGCTTATTTGTTTTTATTTGTGTATTAGATGTCTCGGGTTTGGAATAATTCAGTTGCAATGATTTAAAGTCCGGAGATTTGGAGTGATTTTCTTCAAATGTGTTACCAATTACCACAGAAAATAAAAGAACACAAATAAAGAAGAAAGTTGTTTCATGTTCGACTGTATTGTATCATGCTACCTCCGTTAAATATTATTTGCAACAAACGAATATTTTATATCTCACAAATAATACCCTTTTGCAAATAATAGTTAACGGAGGCAGTAGTTGTAGATAACCGAGTTTTTTTTTTTTAAAAAAAAAGTTTTTTTTTTTTTTTTTGAGATGCAATATGTTGGATCAAATGATATCTTGACTAATGTAGAGATAAGTTGATGAATTAAGAACATCTTATGCTAGTAGTATGAAAGTGGAATGGAATAATTATAGGACCCGAGTTTTTCAGGCTCTGGTAGTTGGGTATACCCTCATCATTGGTGTTCCTCTACTCAAGTACTCTTCGAGATGTTGTGTATAGCGACTTATACCATTGGATTGAAAGTTTTCTCGCTTTGTGAGGCATCTTGTGCCTATGTGGCTCGCGAAAGAAGGGAAATTTTGTAGTGTATACTTAAGTTGGGTGTAGAGGGAAGGGATGTGTTATGTGTATACTTATTTGTCATTATGCATTGACCTATACTTCAATATTTGGTCAACTCGATTGAAGTTCTTATTCAATTTGGTGAATATGAAGTTTGTAACTGTACAGTTTATTGTCAATTTTCTTAATATAGTGGGTTGATTACAGGTGAGTGAGTAACACGGTAAGGGAGCACTTTGAAGTAGGATGCTTTGAGGAAGTATTTATTATTCCCTTGCATCTAATATATCTGTGAAGCAATTCAGATATGGCTGCGCTTGAGGCCCTGAAAAAGAAGCTTACTCCATTATTTGATGCCGAGAAAGGTTTTTCGTGTGAAACCACCCTTGAATGTGGTGATTCCGACATGGTAAAACTTCCTATCCCTAAAGTTAACAAGAAGGTGTAGTCATGTATAGATTGTTTCAGTATTTTAATATGCTATTGTGTTCTTTGCAGCTCTCAGATGGTGGAACCATTAACTTATTGAGCAGATCATATGGAGTTTACAACTTTAATGAGCTAGGATTACAAAAATGCTCTTCGTCTCCAGTAGATGAAAGCAGTCCTAGTGAAAAGACATATCGGATTGCATCCCGTGAGATGAGAGTTTTTGGAGCTATAGGCAGTGGTGCAAGTAGTATTGTTCAGAGAGCTATACACATTCCCACTCATAGAATCATTGCATTGAAGAAGATTAATATTTTTGAGAAGGTGAGTTTTCTTTCTTCTTATGGCTTATCATCATTACTTAATTTATCGGTTCATCACTAGATGATAAGTGACACTTTAAATTTTTACTTATATCTTTCTCTTTTGTTCTTGGTGTTATTCTAATGATCGTTTGAACTTTATTTTATATGAAGTTTTTTGGTGTGATATGTAAAATTAATATCATATTGTGTCACTCAGGAGAAACGACAGCAGCTCCTCACCGAGATCAGGACACTGTGTGAAGCACCTTGTTCTGAGGGACTAGTAGAATTCTATGGGGCATTTTATATTCCCGACTCTGGACAAATTAGTATTGCTTTGGAGTACATGAATGGTGGATCTCTTGCAGATATCATAAGGGTTCAGAAGTTTATACCAGAACCTCTTCTTTCATCTATTGTCCAAAAGCTTCTATTGGTAATTTGTTCTTTTTTTCTTCTTTCACTTAATTGTACCTAACTTGTTTATGGTGATGTGATGTGGTTTGTTCTATTTCACTTAAGATTCCTATATTCTGTATTTTTCCTTCAAGGGATTAAGCTACTTGCACGGAGTTCGACATTTGGTGCATAGAGACATTAAGCCAGCCAATTTGCTTATCGACCTCAAGGGAGAGCCAAAGATAACAGATTTTGGTATAAGTGCTGGACTGGAGAATTCTATGGCAATGGTTAGTTCCTATTACTAGATAGGATGAATTTACTTAAGATATTATCGCTTCACCTATTTGATTCATGAATATTTATGTTTCAGTGTGCAACCTTTATTGGAACTGTCACATATATGTCTCCAGAGAGAATTCGTAATGAGTCATATTCATATCCAGCTGATATTTGGAGCCTTGGTCTTGCACTTTTTGAGTGTGGTACAGGAGAGTTTCCTTACATAGCAAATGATGGACCCGTTAGTCTCATGCTACAGGTTATTTTTATTCTTCTTTCTAATCTTATGTTTATTCTCCCTCTATTCTTTTTTAATTTATTTTTTTATTCATTTTTATTTTTGATTATATGCTGGTCTCCTACTTGAATACTTTTTGAAGCAATTTATATTGTTCTCTTTTATAATTTAGGTTGTTTATAATTGCCTTGGCTTTGTCAACTCCATCCTTGTTATAGTGGAGGGGCTCCCTTGTTTTTAACAATATTAATTAACTTTAATTTGTACAGATCTTGGATGATCCTTCTCCCTCACCATCCAAGGAAAAATTCTCGTCAGAATTTTGCTCATTTATTGATGCTTGTCTACAAAAGGATCCCGAGGCACGGCCCACAGCAGAACAGGTGAGTTATATGTCACTTGTGTGATGCTTGCAATAGGATTAGGCCTTTATATCACATATTATGTGCTTATGTGCCAATTAAGTAAGGTTTTCCCTTTGTATGGACTTGCACACGCTTATGCTTGTTGGTGACTTTTGGTTGGACTTGACTCGCCATGACAATTATAATTGTTGGGACTTGGATAGTTTGCTAGTGGAGGAAAAGAGTTTTTACTGTAATCTTTCATTGATGTGCATTTAATTTTTCATTACAAAATGAGCCCATAAGACACTAACTGTTATCTTGTTGACCATGCTTATATCAAGTGTTCAAGTGACAAAGCCCTCTATAAAGTCTATTCTAGAAAGGTGCCAAAAATATACAATGCTTCATGGAATTTTCAGTCTGGATACTCTAGAAATGGCCTTTTTACCGCATGGGGTGTGAATATGTGATTACATAGTATGAAGTATTATATTTTCCATACATAAATCGATAAATATCCTTTTATCGAATTTTGGTTGGATCATCTTATTGGTCCTTCTAATATGCCCAATTAGCGTTTTGCACACTTGGTTCTCACTCCTAGCTGGCCTATAATTCTTAGTGAAACTTGTTATAAAAAGTTCTTGCAGGGACAAACATGTCTCTGTTGTGAGCCTTGGATTTGTGAGCTACCCTGGGCCTTGGCTTGTTACTTGAATGTTGAGACTACAACCTGTGACTTATAGGCATCTGAGTTTATCAGTGTCATTTCTCTTGGATGTCATTTCAGGATTGAGTAAAATGATCTATGGTTTGAAATTTATATTTTGCTTTTGTGCAGCTTCTTTCACATCCATTTATTACAAAGTTCACGGATTCTCAAGTTGACTTAGCAGCTTTTGTTCAAAGGGTTTTCGATCCTGTGCAGAAGTTGAAGGATTTGGCTGATGTAAGCTTCTCATTCTTGTGTACCTTTGTTTACCTTTTAAAGTAATAATATTTTGGATGGTTGAAATATGATTTAAATACATGAAAAATATGAACTTTTCTTTCGTACAATTTATATACTCTAGGAACTGCTGCTGAATGGTCACTTTTGAAGTTATGATTAGTTTCTAGGGTTAGTGTTGTTTCTTTATAGTCCAAAGTCTTTTAACCAGTCTAGTTATGAGATTTTAGTTTTAAAACGTAAACTTCAATAAAGAATATTAAAATTCTGAATTGTTATCGTTTATTCACCTGTGTTGTTTGTATTAGAATGTTTTTTGGGTGTAGAGAGAGCGCAAGGGCTATGATGTAGATGGATTTGACCTCGGGTCTTGGGTACCATTCCCCCAAGACTTGAACAATTTAACTAACCTAGCCAGTGGCTCCACTGTCTGTACTAGAATTTGCAAATGCATGAGTTGCTATTGAAGCTTGAGAGCTGACAGCTTGATGCAACTTGAGCTGAGAACATATAGTCAACTTATAGCTCATGTATTTGTTCTCAATTTCCAAAATTTTGTTTATGCAGATGCTTAGTATCCACTATTACTTGCTCTTCGATGGACCTGATGATGAAGAGTGGCAACATGTGAAGTCGCTTTACAGTGAAGAATCTGTTTTCAGGTTTGTATGTTTCTTTCCTTTATTACTTATTAGACAAAATAAAATAAACAATTTGAGAAGAAAGCTTTCTCATGTTCAAGTGCATTGTAGATATAACAGTTCTTTTCATTTTGCCAGTTTTTCTGGGGTGCAATATGTAGGATCAAATGATATCTTCACAAAATTGTCGGATGTACGGAGAACCCTAGCAGGCAAATGGCCTCCTGAGAAGCTCATCCACGTTGTAGAGAAACTGCAGTGTCGTGCTCATGGTAGAGGTGGAGTTGCAATTCGTGTATCTGGATCATTGATTGTTGGAAACCAGTTTATTATATGTGGTGACGGTATGCAAGTAGAGGGCTTGCCAAATTTTAGAGATCTCGACATTGATCTATCAAGCAAACAAATGGGAACATTTAAAGAGCAATTTATCATTGAAGCAGGAGATGCCATTGGATGTTACTATATTACTAGTCAAGAGCTTTACATCATGTCATCGGACAGCTAAGATTGCTACATGCCTTTTTTTAGTTACGAGGCTAGTGTATTCCTCTAGAGTTATAATTCTTAAGTTGACAAGCACTCTTAAGTTAGAAGTGTGTAACTTGTAAATCCAATTTGTATAGTGATACTAGCTAGCACTGCAGCCTAGCATCAATTATACTGTAATTGAAATTGTAGATATATATAAGCTGATTTAATACAGAGAATAATGTATGTATAACATTGCTTTGTAATTTTAACAAAAATTATCATTTTTTAGTTCCAAATCAAGTCAGTCCTATTATCTCAAGTTTGTTTAGTTGTTTGCTCTATTTACAAAATTAATATTACACCTTAATTTGTAACCCAAAATTGTGAGGAACACTCTTTAATCAATAATTAATACTTCATAATAATCTTTTAGCTCTATAAATTTTATTAGAATAGTCTGCTTGTATATAACATGTGAAAGAAACAGCTACACGGCTACACTTGTATCATTTTTCCTTAAGAATGAAGATCATCCAAGAACAGTACCATCAAGCTTTAAAATACAAAAAATTTGAGAAAAAAGGTGGGGAAAACAGCTAATGGTCTGTGGATGGTGTAAGAATCAGCAAGGAGTATATTAAACATATGAAGAAAGACCTGTACATTTCTACAAAGTACAAACAGTTGCTTAACACACGACAAAGTAATCTCGGATTGTTCTTTTTTTCAAGGAAGATGGAGGACTTAAAACAGAAGAAGGGCTCCTCGATGCAGATTCAGGAGTTTTATCAAAGGCTTCATTCAAGTTAACTCCTGGAAGTAATCCATCTCTAAGGAGCTTGTTGGGTATGGTTTCTGGAGTCTTAAACTCGACTATGCTTTGATCTTGTATTACTTCTTTATGACTTGTTCTACACGGGCTTTCCTTCTGCAGAGAAGCCTCATGGCAGTCAGTTTTAGATACTGCCATCACTCTCCTCCGAACAGCAGTTGTTCTAGGTGACAGATAATTTCTATTTTGTACATTCCAAAAGCAAACCTAGGAAGCAAGGAAATAATTAATATCATAAAGTGGGGGCAAAAAACTGTAAACTGCTTTTAAACTGTAATGTTATAACTTACTGTGAAGTCATCTGAAGCCGTGGCAATCTTCCCTGGTTCTTGTAGGCACCTGTGGCATACAATTGAATGCTTGGATGAGTTTCTATTTGTTGCTTGATAGTATGATATTGGCATTGACAATTACATATATGTTAAAAACATACCAATCGACTGCAGTGACTTCTTTTTCATGGCTTGTCAATGAAATGGGATCTTGATGAGGATCATCTACCTGATTTCAACAAATTTTGAGTAAAGTACTTTACCAAAAAGGCTAGATGAATCACTATTTTTGCTATATTGAAAAGTGAATACAAACCTGCCAAATGTAGGCATTTCCGTCTCCAGATCCACTCAGTATGTGAGATGCATCTGGACTGATGCTTGACTGCAACCACACAAAACCAGAACCAAATTAGAACGATCAAAGCATTTATACATACAGTTTCATGTATTTGAACATGCAAAGACCGGTTGTTTTACCTTTATAAAAAATGATCCTATTTGGCAGCCTGTGAAGGAGCTGATAGGACCTTTTTCTGGTTGGAGAACATTATACAAATATATTCTGAAACAAAGAAATACAAAAATCAAATTAAGGGAAAATCGAAGGCATAATCTGACATTATGCTTAATTGTCTTAAAGGTACCTATTATCTGTACAAGATGCAGAAAGCAGCACTCCGTTAAGATCTTGGGATAGGCTAGTTATGCCATGTTGTCTCCCATTCTGTAAAGATATCAAACGACTCATAGAATTGAGGCTATGTACAAAGGACTGGATATAGCAGAATAAGATAAATATAGTCTTGCTGATAAGAACAATATATACTTGTGGGATTGGAAAAAGAACAATATATACTAACCGTGTTTGTCATGGACTCATGAAGTGGACTAGCTTGAGCAGCTGGAACTCGAAGATTTCTTGTGTCCCAGAACTTTACAACACTGAAATTGAATTATGACAATGTCAAACTAATACAGATCGAGACTTTTAAGAGTATTGGCATAGGTCTGATTCGGAGTAATATCTGCAGTACCTGTCTACTGCCCCTGCTGTGGCAATTGAGACTCCATCTCTGAGATAAAGAACTGATGTTACAGTCATTGAAGCTGCCTGAAAGCATGAGATGTCAATTATACTGATACAATTATAAGGAATTTTCTAATTATTATTTTTGCTGAAAAGGTTACTTACCTTACTTTTTATGAACCGCTTACGTTTAGCAGAGGTATGAGCCCCAGTAACCTGTTCAGTTGACCTTTAACAAAGCAATTAAACCACTTATCAGATAAAAGCTTTTGATTTCAGATATTATGATTCAAAAGAACTGTCATTCACTTACATTATACCGTCTCTCCCTTGGCAAGGGTTACACCTCAAGTCCCATAGCGCAAAGGATCCATCTCTTGATCCAGATACAACAAGATCTGTCAGGTTGTAAAGTAACCAACACAGAAATATTAAATATTGTACACCTCTTAAACACACACTAATAGTTGAGGCAGAAGGACCATATAAACCTATATCCTTACCAGAATTTGTAGGATGGCAAGAGACAGATTTAACACTGCCTACATGGCCTCTTAACATTCCATAACATTTCTTTTGCTCAACATCCCATAACTTGATCTGGCAAGAAAAAGGATAACACCCATAAACAAATTTTCAATCAGAACAGTCTACTCTTTCTTGGTAATGCGCAACAGTTCAATTGTGCTTACACTCATTTTCGTTAACTATGGGAAATTGGGAATGGCTCAATCATTTGAACATTTTGTGCTAACAAGCCAAGAGTTTGGAACATTTAGGTTACATATACTTATATACAGACCAGCCCCTATGGCTGATGTTTGATAACAATCAGTGTATTGGCTCATAATATAGCAAGCTAAAATTGTTGAAGAACCATGAATGTGCTAAGTAGGTTGTTATAAAGGACAGAAGAAAGACCGGCTTGACTTAAACGTTCCCTAAAAACACCTAGTAGGCTAATTCCCTGCTCTACCACACCAAAATATTGCTAATAATGTGTTGAAAGTTTTAGTAGCTTACAGTATGGTCAGCTGAAGCTGTCAGAACTCTAGTGTCATCCTGCAATGAACAATTGCATCACAATACAAAATCATTTAGTCTTCATAGTTTTTTGAACAAATAACATCACCAAAAACCAAAACACATTGTAGTACAAATGTGCCAAGGTCAATTGAGAAAAGGGGGGTCACCTTAGTCCAGCAGATATCATAAACAGAATTATCATGAGCAACCCAGCTCGAAACAATCGCTTTCTCTGCATTGATCAAACGAAAGCACAACAATAAACCTCATTAGCTCATCAAACGGATTCATCATAAAAACCCCAAATCAAAATTGATTGTGAAGCAGACAATAATTTTTTTTTTTTCAGAAACCTGCATTTTCTTGGTGGGTTGCTGAAGGTTTAAGCTTCAAACGAGTATTGATTAAGTTCACATAACCTTCTTCATCTGTAACACCCAGAATATGGGCATTCCTAATTGTCTGCATAGATAACAAATTTAAATATTCAGCAAAAAAATAACACACACCCACAATTAAATCAATAAAATGAGCTAATCCCACATAAATATTTGTCAAAAATTAAATAATTTTCCAGAAAATGGGCATTTCTAATTGTCTGCAAAATATCAATATGAACAATGAACAGATAGATTACACCCACTATAAAAACAAACAAATCACAATTAATAATTGACAAAAATCAAGCTTCATTTTCTGTTAAAGTTAAACTAAATCTACAATATTTTATAAAATGAACAAATCAAGCTTACTCACTATAAAAATCAATAAACCCCAAATAAAAATTAGCAAGAAAAATCAGAAATTTAAACAAATAATAAGAAATTAGAGGTAACCTTAGCAAATGAGACCGACATCGGCGGAGTAGGAACGCCATCATGTGAGCTCTCTACACCTCTGCTACAGCTGGGTTCATCGCTTCGATCATCTAATGAGGTATTATAAACAAATAATGGTCGTTTTCTTCCTGAAAAAATCAGATCAAACATTTAAGATTTCAAAATAAACCCAGAAAATTGAGAATTAATAAATGAAGAAGAGGGATTGTATCACACCTTTGAACCCATGAAGCTCTCTTGATTTAATATCATGTAGGATTGAGTAGGAATTATAGATCTCCATTGTTATTGAGGTTTAGAGAGAAGAGAAGAGAGATGAAGAAAGAGAGGAGAGAAAAAAGTTGGAGAATTGGGAATTTTGCAGTGTTTTAAGTGGTTTTGAGTAGGGTGGCGGGAGGAGAGAAGAGCGGGAATATTTTCGAAATTTGATGTTTTGGTGGTCTGACCGCCAATCTGTCCCTCTTTACTTCTTTGACGTGTTAATTTTTGTTTTTGTTTTATGACTTTTATCTAAAAAAATGGTAAGAACAACCTTGAGGTCCTTGAGTCCTTGACTAAATTTCAAGTTTCAACCTTTCAATTTTGAGGCTTCACGGTTTTAAAATTACTAGTATTTACGGATTAGATATTTTAAAGTTTCAAGTCAAATATAGTTGAAGAAGTGAAGAATGACAGAATTCCTACTCCTAATGGCTACTCCATACCACTTCGATTTGGCAAGATTTGACCGTGTTAGTGATAGTAACTCAATAGTCACTACTCCTTCGATTTAGATTGTTTCAAATAACATATAAATTAAACATTTTTTTTAATTGTTGTCTAATCATATTTTGTTCGCTAAATTCCCCTAATATGCGACATTTGCATGTGTTTTCCTCTTTATCTCTGTCCTTATTGCCTTGGTTCTTTATTGTTATTCTCTATTTCTCTCCTAAATTTCTAATCTTAAATTTCATGTCTTACTTTGTTACTGCAATATTAAAGGAACGGAGAAAGTTTAGGAAGAATTTAAAATGTTGCAATTATTTTCAAACAAGAGTTACTCATAGATTTCGATATTTTAAACGAGCCGATATTTTGAAAATTAAATCTATATAGCGATGCATTTATCTTAGGATCAAAGTTGTATCATAGTGGAAACCTAATAAAATTGGTCCTAACAAAATATAGCTCAAAAACAAATGTTCTTGTATAAAATGGTTTTCCATGCCTTTTGTGCATTCTACATCATGTCGTGTTTTTTCTATATTGCATCGTGCCCCATATGTGCTCACCTCCCCCCACATGCCAGCCCTTCCAATCTTAAGTTCATCTTATTTCAACTTATACGAAATGTTAAAATATAACCTAAGACAAGTTCAAATAAATTACTGTACACAGTAATACGAGTATAGAGTATCAATAGACATAATAATATGAAATACTTCGGTATAAAATAATCGAATGAACTATACAAAGCCATACCAATTGCTAAATAGTTTACCAACCAAGCAAAGCTTGTTGGAGTTAGTGGAAAACTCACCTTATCACTTTGAGCTCACATATTCGAGCCCCAATAACTACATTATGATTGGGAGTAGTAGGATTCTCTTACCTCCCTCCTCTACCCCGCCACCCCGGCACAACTATCAAGCATTGACCTACGAAGGTGGATCGACTAAACTAAACGTGTAAAAGTGTTCAATAGCCCAAGATACAATTAAAGGGTCCAATTAGTCCGATAATGGGCCTAAAAACTAAGTCGGTGAAATAGAGATAGAAAATTATAATTTTTGAATAGGATTTGATTTAATTGGATCACTCAAAGCAGCAGGTGAGAGGCGCTTCAGTTGCTTACTTTAAGCAGCGTACCATTCAAGCTCTTGTTTATTCCTCTGTAATTTTCGAAGAACAAAAATGTCAACTCCTCCTAATCAAGCTCAGGAAGAAGATAAGAAGCCTGGCGATCAATCTGCTCATATCAACCTCAAAGTCAAAGGCCAGGTTTTCAATTTATTTTGGTTTTAATTGATTTGTTTTTTTTAGGGTTCATAATTTATTTCAATTTTGGTTTTGTTGTCGTTTTAATTGTTTATTTTGATGTATTTTATGTTATTTAGCTAGAATTCTGAGTTTGAAAACTTAATATGTTAGTCTGCTATTTTTCTGTGTAGTTGTTTTGCTGTAATTTGTGAGTGTGTTAATTAGTGTGTGGAATTAAGAATGATTTAAATTATTGGAACATTAATATATTTGGAGATAATTAGGTTATATGATTTGTAATTGGTTAATTATATGAGTTTTAATTTGAAATTTAGTTTGAATTTCAGGAACTATTGGTAATTTCCTGCTCAGTTTAATGCAGATTGACTACTAAATTGTGAATATTACAGATGTGGTGAATATTGATTTTGTTGAATAGGGATTAATTGGCAGCTTTAGGAAGTTTGTGGTTTTGATTTTTGATATATGAATTGCCTGGTTGTAAGACTTGTATTTTGTTACGTTTTTTTGGAGGAGTATGTTATAAAGTATGCAATTGACTCATTAACTCTCTTTAAGATTTAAACTAAATAAATCTGCTCTGAAGTGGTGCCGATGTTGCGTGAAACGTTTAGCATAGGAAGTAAAGAGTAAATCATATGCTTGCTAAGAGAGTATAAGGAGTGAGTGCGAAAACGCTTTGCTACTTAGAGAATGTGGAATTGTAATTATTAGTTTATAACTATGTTTTGAGGAATCGTAGGGGAATTATCAATTTATTAGTGATTGTAATGACAAGTCTTTTGTCTATGAGATATGTTATTTGGTTAGGGGTAGGGTGTTCTCATTACTTTTGGCCGGTGGAATCTTAGGTAATAATGGTAATTGAAACGTCTAGTTGTACACACTAATTTTTACCCTTGCGAAGAGTGAAGGAGTGGGATCGTGGAGGAATTAAGTGAGGGAGAGGGAGACCGAAAATGACTTGGTTGGAAGGAGTTAGGAAGGATATGAAGTATATGGATTTGCATGAGGAGGAGGCATTGGATCGTAAGGGATGGAGGAGAAGGATCTTTGTCGATGATTATACGAAATAATCAAATTTGGTTCATATAGCCGACCCAACTTATGGAATTAAGGCTTTGATTGATTGGGAAGGGGGGTTTGTGTATATTCATTAGTCTTATGTACGCATTGTATATGGTAACTTGGTAAGACTTGATTCTGCCTTTAGATGGCTCTGCTCACATTAATATGTCATCGGCTCAAATTTGGTCACGTCTGGATGTTTTTATATGACTAAGAAAGTTTCAGACGTTAAGGCAAAGTTGAAATCTGTATGTTTTATACACTTGTTTGAGATTCGCAGTTCAACATTGTAAAAGTGACACTTTTTAAGACCCAAGACTGAAGTGAGGAGTACGCGTAATACAAAGAAGATAAAGATGTATATTGCTCATGATAACGCGCTTATCTCATTTAAGGGTTTAACTAAATACTGTTTTCTTTCAAATACTTGCAACACCTTGTCTATACTGTATCCTTAATATTCCTTATGCAAGCGACGTTTGACAGATTATAAATTCTTGGTGCTATATGATTTGAGGAGCTAATGAATTTGATCCATAAGCTTTTGAGGCAGTTTATAATATTAATCCTGGGCACCGTGCCGTGCCGGGCCGCCGCGGGCCGTGCCTGGCGGGCCACGGGTGGTTCGTGCCGTGCCGGTCGTGCCGGCGGGCCCTGGATTTCGTGCCGTGCCGTGCCGGCCATTTTCACAGGCCAGCCCACGGCACGGCACGGCCCTCGTGCCTGGCGGGCTCGTGCCGTGCCGGCCACGTGCCGGCTGGCCTGCGCGGGCTGGTGCAGTTTTCATTTTTTTTTTTTTTTTTTTTTTTTTTTAATGACAACATTATAAATTAATAAGTTTATAATGTATATAAGTTATAAAATTATAATTATAAGTTTTATAAGGTAACTTATAAGTTTATAACTTATAAGTTATAAGTTATTAAGTTATGAATTTTATAATTATAAGTTGAATATTTATGTTTTATAATTTGTATATTCAATATTTATATTTATATATTTACTTTATACTATTACTTTAAAATTTAATGTTTATGATTTATTAGTAATTGGTATAATTTTTTTTTTTTTAATATGAATTTACAAATTGTAACAAAACGGGGAAAAAAGGCAAATTGGACTTTGGATGTGAATAATGCGTACTTTATATTATTATTACTTGAGTTGAGAAAATTGTACAATGATAACAATGATAAAAATCATACAATGATGGTATTAAACAAAAATTGGAAAATGATAAAATTGATATTTTTAAAATCGTACAATATACAATAATTGTCTATTCTTCTTCTCCTTCTTCTTGCTCGTCTTCGTCTTCGTCTTCGTCTTCGTCTTCGTCTTCGTCTTCGCCTTCGCCTTCAAGGTCATCGGCTAGTTGCATAGATTGGGAACTAGCCGAACCCGAACCGGAAGCGGAGGTTCCTTCTTCGTTGTCGTTGTGGTCGTAAGAACGGTCTTGTGAGCGATTTTCCGCATCCAACCAATCTTTGAAACACACGCACATTTCTAGTGTTTCGGGTTTTAGACTTGTTCTTCTATCGTCTAAAACCCTTCCGGATGCGCTGAAAGCTCGTTCGGAGGCGACGGAGGAAACTTGGATATCAAGAATGTCTCGTGCCATTGCCGCCAAAGTTGGATGCTTCGAGCTTTGTTGTTTCCACCATGCAAGGAGGTCGAGGCTGTTTATCTCATCGTCGTCCATGCCTTTGGTGAAGTCGTAACTCAGGTACATCTGCAACTCCGAGACGTCGCTTTGCGTTCTCCTGATTGATGAATCACCTGAAAACCTTGAAATCAAGTTAGTAGCTTGTGAAAATAAATGTTTGGCCTTCTTACTTACGTTTTTGGATGGTTGGGAAGGCCCTGAGCGAGGAACGGTGCCATATTTGGCTTCATAGACTCTATATAAAGCAAAAAACTGATCCTTCACATTAGTCTTATAGTTTTCTACATCATCGTCAAGAAACATGCATTGAAAGTAAATGTCAACTAACATAAATGTGTTTTCATACTTTTGCCTAGGATCTAATATGGAAGCAAAAATATAAATCAAAGGAATCTCACTATAATATTTACGCCACTTTTTTTCCATTGCTGGAAGATACTGATCATAATCACTTTGATCGCGATGATCAGCGAAAAGTTGGGCGAGTAAGCATGCATTAGAAAGGAAGTTTTGAGCACAAGGATTGTAAACAGTAGAAAAACAATATGTCATGTTATATAATAACTGTAAAAATTGCATATATCTTTCACAGTTTTTCCAATCATCATCATACAAAGCATTTTGTGGAAATTTTTGGTTGTAAAATAATGTTAACGGGCCCTTGTACTCAATTGCCTTTGTTAACATGTCATAGGTGGAATTCCACCTAGTTGGGCAATCGGTTCTAATTTTTATTACCCTTATCTTTTGTTGTTTTAGAAAACTCTTCCATTCTTGGTATCTCATGTTAGAGCTATTAATAGACATAATAGCATCTCTGATTTTGCTGTAGTATGGGCCAATTGCCCGAACTCCATCCTGTACACATAAGTTAAGTACATGGCAAACACATCTAGTATGAAGAGCTTCACCGTCTAATAGTACATCGGTTAAGTTTTGTTTGATAAGATTAGCTGTGTATGTCATAGAGGTTGCATTATCAAAAGTCATAGACATCATTTTATCTCGAAGGTTGTATTCGTCTATTGCTTGCATTAAATGGTGAGCAATGTTAATGCCGGTGTGTGGGTATTCCAGCATTTTGAAATGTATTATTCTTTTTTGTAACATCCATTGATCATCTACCCAATGGCAAGTCACACATAAATATTGATATTTATAACCACTATCCCAAGAATCGGCTGTTAAAGATACTCTACAGTTAAGGTTAGTCAATTCGGCTTGTAACCGGACTTTGTACTCTAGGAAATTTTTCATTGCGGCGGAACGAACGGTTTTCCTAGAGATTCTTTTATGTTGGGGTTGTAGTGCTTTGTTAATGTAGGTGTTGAATGCGTCACTTTCCGAGAAAAGAAAAGGTTGTTCGGCGTGTACTATCATTTTTCCTAGTTCATCCCTATCCCTCTCATAGTTGTATGTAAAGCCGTATGGATGGAATTGGGAAATTTTGGGCTGGGTTGGATCACTAGCTGGTTTTGCACAAGCTTTCATGTGTCTAGATAAGTGTCCCGTCCCGTTTTTGGTAACTGTCGTGAATACACTATTACATGTTTTACATTTTGCCCATTGTTCACCATCTTTACTTAGGACAAAATAACGCCATACCTCACTCCTTCGGTTTTTCAAAAGTAGCATCTCAGTTTCGGTTAACCATTCATGATGTGTGTGATGGTTAGTAGTGAGACTAGTGGGAGTGGCAGCAGAAGGGGTAGAACCGGAGGGAATTCGGGTACTTTCTTGGCTACCTTGGCTAGAACAATAGTTTTGTTGATTACCGATATAATTAGGTGGAAATTGGTATGGTGGTAGTGGAAATTGGTTTAGTGGTGGTGCTGGAAATCCCGACGTATTATATGGCTCATAGCCCGGGGGGAAGTAAATGGGGTCATTGGTTTGACTCGTAATTTGGGGGCTCGTTGTATTTGGTGGTTCCCTAGAACTACTACTACGGATAAGTCGGCCTTTCCCCCTAGACCTAGATGATGGGTTGTTCGATGCCATAATTAACAATTAATTTTTTAATAAAAAGTGGTTAACTATAATAATAATAATTAATAACAACAATTTTAACAATAAAAATATCAATAATATTAATTAATAACAACAACTATAACAATAACAATAACAACAAAAATAAATAATAACAACAATTGTAACAATAATAATAATTAATAACAACAATTATAACAACAACAATAACAATTAACAACAATAATAATTAAACAAGATTATTCTAATAATAACAATAAAACAATAATAAATTTAAGATTAGTTTAGATCTTACAACCGTGCTTCAACGCTCCACTAATTACGATTACGAACTTTTTAATTTTTTCCGATATTAGGAAAATAATTAGAGAATTTAAGAGAATAATTAGAGAATTTAAGAAAATAAGGATTATTAGAGATTTAGAGAATATAAGAGATAAGAAGAAGAGATTGTGATTTTGTGATTTGGGAATGAAATGGAGGTGAGTATTTATAGAATTTTTGGCAAAAAACTAGCCGTTTTATAGCCGTTGGCCCGCGGGCCGTGCCTACGGGCCGTGCCTGTGGGCCGTGCCTGCGGGTCGTGCCTGCGGGCCAGCACGGCGGGCCATGCCCGTGCTCGTGCCGGGCCGTGCCTGGGAATTCTCAACCGTGTCCGTGGCACGGCCCGTGGCACGGAAGTTGAACTTCGTGCCGTGCCGTGCTTGACTTCGGGTCGTGCCGGGCGGCACGCGGGCCAACCCGGCCCGTGCCCAGGTTTAGTTTATATCAGTCTTTGTCAAGAAAATATGTTAATGGGAACGGAAGTCCTGTCTCTTTCAGCTTTGTGGTGTGTAATATTAATGCCTGGCACTTGTGGCGGTGGTGGGGTTGTGAACCAGGTGAAACTCATTAGTGCATATTATGTGCTGTAAGATATTTTATTTTTTTATGATTCTAAGAACGTAGTATGGGCAATTTTGAAGTATGTCATAGTTTGTACAGCCTTTTGATAAATGCATAATATACTATAATTTTAGTCCCTAATGTTAGTCCAATGGCCGCTTTATATTGGTTATTTTATGATTTTATTTACTTTTATTATTTTAGATTTTATTTTATTCATTATTTTATTTTATAGTTATTTTTATCATAATTGATACTTAATTTTATGTTGTGTGTTTGTGGTAGGAAGAAAAATATTCGCAAGCACTACGAGCCCAATAGCAAAGCAGACTAGCAAATATAAAAAAAAGGGGAAGAAGAAAAAGGCACGTGACTTAGCAACATTAAACAATAAGAAAGCAAAGATAAGAAAGCAGCAACAAATAAAGTAAAGAAAGGAGCGTGAAAACCAAAGATACCCCAAAATCTTATTAAGGTTCATCTTCAACAATATCATCCGAAATTCAAGCAAATAGAAGATGAATTTCCATCTTAAATTTTATCTTTCCAACCTAGAAAATCAGGGGAGGCCGTTGTTTTTGGCTATAAAAACCCCAAAACAATCATCTCAGAGGACACACAACTTAGCCAATAATTATACAAAGAGTACGAGAGTTCGAGTGAGTCCGTAATTGGGCAATTGGTGAAGAGAAGATAGCCATTGGAGGGCAGCTTAGTCTCGAATCCAAGGTAGAACAAGAACGAAGGTGAATCGCGGGGTCGAAGCCGGGTTTATTCGGGTGTTCTTCAGAGTATATTTTATAAGTCTTCTTCTGAACTTATTTGTTCAATACTACTGATTTATTTGATGTTCTTTGCTAAATTGATGAAGTACTTTTATTGGATTATTGATATTATAATTGATTCTTGATAGTATTATTTTTTCGATTTAATGGGTATTTGAAATTTGCTCGTTCTTGATTATTAAATTTGCAATTTGACATTGATTGTTATCTATCATGTTATTAGTTGTGAATTATTGTTATCTATATGATTTGGCTTAGTTTGAATTCTATAGTGAAGTAGTATCTAATTTTTATCAAGTCTGCGATTATGGTTTGGTTTAAATCAGAGGGCATTTTCAATCTAATTATTCTAAGCATTTATGTGATTAGTTTAATTAGGACTAATGAGGTCTCCTAGTTGTTAATGCTTCCGTATCTAACTCATGCAAGTTGCGAAATATTTGTGTTAATTAGATCGGTTTAGAGTCAATTTCGGCTTAGTCCAAATTTGGTTTCAAGTAAGGGAGATAGGGAGTCTTTGTTACTATAGTCTCTACGATTAGTCTAATCGTTAAATTGAGTATTTTGCAGAGTCGGTCAATTGTTGTTATCAATAGTTTAGTATGAGTAGTGCCGAAGTGGAATTGGTTAGTTGTGTCGTCAATAGTAGTTTATTAGTTTAGTTCCGTATTAGTTTTATTAGTTTAGTATTATCTAAAACAAACCCCCCCATTCTATGTACATATGTGAATAAATGTATAGTATGTAAGTTTCCGTAATATATCTAGTTAAACCTTGATTAAAGAGTTAAAAGTCTCCTCGTGGAATCGACCCTTGCTTACCCTTTTACTAGGTTGTTAATATTTTTGAAGGTTAAGTTAGGAAAATAAATATTTAATTTTATACGGTAAACGACTCGTATCACCTTTCCTTTCCATATATGATTAGCTTCATGTTATTGTCGCGGATTGAGATAAATTGTGGTATTAATTTCATTGAATGATCTCATTTTGTTATGTTGAGTGAATCTCTTTTTGTTATAGTTAGATTTTATATGTCCAATCTAAAGCAGTCCTGTATGGACTAATCACTGCATCATGCAATAGTATTGCATCATGTTTTGTTTTAAAAGCTGCCTGATTCCATATATAATTCTTTTTCCAGGATGGCAATGAAGTTTTCTTCCGAATCAAGAGGTCCACCCAACTGAAGAAGCTCATGAATGCATATTGTGACCGACAGTCAGTAGAGTTTGACTCTATTGCTTTCCTGTTTGATGGACGTCGACTACGTGCAGATCAGACTCCGGATGAGGTATGTTCCCTTATGCTGCTTTCTCTCTGCAGATTATCTTTTTGTTGCAATAGATCCTTTCATGTCTCTACTTGTCACTTTATAACCTCATTTTTGCACATAACTTGCACAGTTGGAAATGGAAGATGGTGATGAGATAGATGCTATGCTTCATCAGACTGGAGGCACTCTTGTTTTCTAGAGGATATACTAAGACACTTCGGTAGGATGAAGTAGGCTTCCGTGTATTGTTTTGTTTCATTGGATAGGCCATGGCATGGTACAGTAACTATATAGTCTAAAGTCTAAACCAATCGGCTATGTAACTTCAGTGAAATTATGTTCTTTACCATTAGCTTATAGTACTAATCTGTGTGGATGGTTAACAAGATTGCAAGAAGACAGCTTGTAATTTGTAAGCATAGCAAGTTTGAGATTAATTTTATGTCTGTACTCTATACATTGTTATCAATTGGTTGCAGGATAACCCCTCCTCTCCCCCCCCCCCCTCCTATTTCTGTAAAATTAAATGTTGAAGTATGAAATATCCAACATCTTAATCAAAGTAGGGTAAGTCAATCTTAAGATTGAGAGGTGTTCACAAATTGAACCTTGAACCAAATTATGTCATTGTGTTTTGTGTCTTCCCAAATCGTCAATTTGATTAATCCTTTACACCGGCGACAACCACAACCAATTCTCTTCCCCCTACCTCACTAGTTCTTTTCCTGTTATTCCTTGAGGCTGTTGTAGGTCAGTAATGTTGCTGGGAGGGGCAACCATAAAGGGTAGGGTAAGAATAATAAGCACCAAGTTAACTATCTTGTAATTTTTTTATTTCAAGATCTCGTCGCTAAGAGTCCATAATCTTCCAAAACTAATCGCAACATTATAAAAAAAAACATTGATAAGTATATTAATCAACATAGGTTCTTAAAATGGATTATCAAATTTGCCTACATCATTGGATTCATCGCCTTTAAATGCGATAGTGAATCCAACCAAGATTTTTCATTCTATAATAGTAAATCCAAACCCTACAACGTACATTAACTCAAGAAATCCCAATCGGTATAGTAATCAACTTAATACCGAGTATCAATTTTATATACATCATCGCCTCTAAACATGATAACAATGAACTCACGCAATAATTTTCATTTCTTAGGGCAAATCTCAACTCTGTCACACATAATAACGAAGAAATCTCGATAAGTATAGCAATCAACACATGTACTCAAAATCGAGTATCAAATTTGTCTATATCATAGCCTCTAAACACGATAACATTGAATCCAACCAAAAAAATTTCATTATCTCAGCATAAATCAAAACTTTGCAACATACATTAACCAATAACCAAGAAATCCCGATAAGTATAATAATCAACGTAGGTGCTTAAAACCGATTATCAAATTTGTCTACATCATCGCCTCTAAACACGATAACACCGAGTTCAACCAAGATTTTTCATTCTCTTAGTGTAAATCAAAACTCTGCTTCATACATTAACCAAGAATTCCCGATAAGTAATCAACACTAATTCTTAATACTAAGTGCCAAATTTGTCTACACCATCGCCTCTAAAACACGATAACTCGAAATTCAACCAAGATCTTCCATTATCTCAGTGTAAATCAAAATTCTACACACAGAATAACCAAGAACTCCCGATAAGTACAGTAATCAACACATCTACTTTAAACCAAGTATCAAATTTGTCTGCACCATCGCCTCTATAGACAATAACACCGAGTTCAACCAAGATTTTTTATTCTCTCATCGTAAAATAAAACTCTGCAACATACATTAACAAAAATAAACTCCCGATAAGTACAATAATCAACACAAGTTCTTAAAATTGAGTATCACATTTATCTACATCATCCCATTAAAAAAAAAAAAAAAAAAAAAAAAACCCAAAACCAAATTAATCATGATTGGGCTACGTTTGAATTGGGCTTCCAAACTTGCAGTCGCCGCTGACTCCATATTTAATTTTTTTTTATTTTTTTTTGAAGCAGACTCCATATTTAATTTATTTATAAATAAATCTGAGAAGACCAAAACTCCAATTATAAAAGAGAGACTCAAAATTGAAAAAAAAAAAAAAAAAAAAGGGGGAGAAAAGTGGTGCATTCAAGGAGGGAGGGAGACTGTTAGCGTGATAACGAAGCGAAGCTCGAAGAAGAGAGAGAAAAATGTCTGGAACTCAGGAAGAAGACAAGAAGCCCGGTGACCAAGGTGCTCACATCAATCTCAAAGTCAAGGGTCAGGTAATTTTTTCAAGGATTTAGGGTTTATTTTTTTTTTTCTGATTTTTATGTTTAATTTTTAATTTTTGTGATTTTTATGCTTAATTTTTTTATTTTTGTGGTTTGTGTAATTCTAGGGTTTATGCTGCTTTGTTTGGTTTGATTTTTGGTGGTAATTCACTCTATTGTTTCGTTTAATTTGATTTGTTTGTGTTTTATATTAATTTTTGTTTGCGATTAATTGTTAGTGTTTCCGGATTGCTTGAATTTAAGTGATACGAGTAGATGATTTTAGTAGGCATTTGATTAAACTGATCTGTTTATTTGATTTTGAGTTGATTCAATTGTTACAAATAAGTACAAAAATTCATTAATAATTTTATTTTTAAAAATTGATTGAATTATCGCTGATACCACGGGGTAGAATCATTGAATCAACTGTCAATTAAGCCTTTGAATCAAATTATGTGTTGTTTTTAGAATTGCAAGATCTTGTCAGAGTGAATTAGTGGTGGTTTGAGTGTACAATTTTCCTCAATTTGTTTTAAATTGTTGTATCCTGAGTACAAAGGATGTCTCTGGTCCTTGGATTTAGATTTTCGTATTCAGGGGAGGAACAATCTGTTTACCAGTACGCGTTAGAGGTGACTTAGCGGATTACAAGGTCAGGAGGCATTCACGATTTTATTAAAGGCCATATTAGTTTGGAAATAGTTATAATTGATGGATAGTCTGGAAATAGTTACGGAGTATAAAGTATAAACTTATAATTGGTAGATAGTTTGGAAATAGTTATAATTGATGGATAGTTTGGAAATAAATATAATTGATGGATAGTTTGGAAATAAATATAATTGATGGATAGTTTGGAAATAAATATAACTGATGGATAATTTGGAAATATATATAACTGATGGATGGTTTGGAAATAATTATAATTGATGGATGGTTTGGAAATAATTATAATAGATGGATAGTTTGGAAATAATTATAATTGATGGATAGTTTGGAAATAATTATAATTGATGGATAGTTTGTAAATAATTATAATCGATGCATAAGTTGGAAATAATTATAATCGATGGATGATTTGGAAATAATTATAATTGATGGATAAGTTGGAAATAAATATAATGGATGGATAGTTTGGAAATAATTATAATTGATGGATAGTTTGGAAATAATTATAATTGATGGATTAGTTGGAAATAATCTCAATTGATGGATAATTTGAAAATAATTATAATCGATGAATAATTTGGAAATAATTATAATCGATGGATAGTTTGGAAATAATTATAATTGATGGATAGTTTGGAAATAGTTATAATTGATGGATGGTTTGGAAATAGTTATAATTGATGGATAGCAAGGGGCGAGTGTGGAAGAGGAACAAAGATCGAGTAGGATGTACCTTTTATGAATTACAAGTTAATAAATTTGTTGCAGAAGCACCTTATCTGCGGTGCAATTTTAATTTAAATGTCAATGTTTGTTGCTCACTGCCAAGCTTTTGTGGTGTTCTATGATGTTGGAACATGTTTAGTGATAGGTTATTGAGTATGCCGGATGAAATTGTAGTCGATATATCATACATGTGGGCTCTATCTGACTATCCGCGTATCTTTTTTGTTGGTGTTTGATGGTTAGTAACTGTGTTAAAGCAACCTCATGCACTAGACATTATGAATCGGTGATATTAATTGATTGACAGCTGATTTAATTTGATTGACAGTCAATTATTAATCAAATTCCTTCACATCACCACTAGATGCAATACAATGAACTAAATCAAATTTATTCTCATAATCTGTATCTTATATAATTGCATTGTATCTTTTTGATTTATTTCCATTATTTCCTAATATCTAGTCAATTATTAATCAAATTCCTTCACATCACCACTAGATGCAATACAATGAACTAAATCAAATTTATTCTCATAATCTGTATCTTATATAATTGCATTATATCTTTTTGATTTATTTCCATTATTTCCTAATATCTTTCCTAATTGTAATTAATCATATTTTTACCCTTATTAATACATTTTCATATTACAGCATACATTTCTATAGTTTCTCATGTGTAATTATTATAATCTTGATAATGATGGATTGATGGGTACTGTGTAGTGTATAATACAAGTAGTCAAGTATTGATTTGTGATATCATATTTCAATTATAGCTGAAAGCATACTCTCTCTGTCTTTTTGAAAATGCTTGGATAAAGAAGTAGGCTACTAGGTTCTATTGCCTCTATGGAAGAGGGGGATGATGAGTGAATAAAATATGCTTGATATATACTACTGTTGCAAAATTTTTGCAATGTTGTTATCCATGAAACTAGACCATTGATCATTCTATTTTCCCAATTTACTTTAATCCTGTCCACTGCAGGATAAATTAAACGATCTTATATTTATATTTTTCTGTCGATGAAATTGGGTGAATATCTATTTCATTGTTCCACTTTACCCTTTAGCTTTGTAAAATACTAAAATCAGTTACAGAATATTTAAGTTTCAAATAAATTCTATGGTTTGAGGTCTAGATCATGAGGTGCCATTTTTGTAACCTTAAGGACTGATACCTTCTCAGATTTAGTTAGTTATGAGTTATGACACAGGTTGCCCCCCTGCCCCCATTAGAACAAGTGGATTATCCCTAATGATCTTTTCACATGAAAATCACTTACGGAGTATCTGAAATAATTTGATCTTTTTTGGGTCCTTGTACTGAACTTATTTTTAGCTCTGAAATGAGCCTTCAACTTTGTAGCCCTTATCTAAACTTGTTTGAACTTATCATAACCTCCTAAATTAATATGAGCAATTTTTTTTCCCAAAATCTTTATATTTGAAGTTGAGAAATTGAGAAGGCGGCCTTGAAGCTGGTATTAAAAAGCATTCCTTTTGCATGCATGCGTGTGTTTTTACCGTTCCCTTTTATCTCTACCACATGGCTTTGCTGATGTCAAGTTTAAATATCCTGGCCATGATTTCTGTTCCAGTGTCTGATATGATATTTACCTCTAACTGAGCGTATTACACTTTTTATATATTTTGAGTATATGCATCAGGACTGCTTCAGTTCTTAATGTGTTTCTGTTTGGGGCCTGTTTTAGGATGGGAATGAGGTCTTCTTTCGTATCAAGAGGTCTACACAGCTGAAGAAACTTATGAATGCTTACTGTGACCGCCAATCAGTGGAATTGAACTCTATTGCTTTCTTGTTTGATGGGCGTCGACTTCGAGCCGAGCAGACTCCCGAAGAGGTGTCTCTCTTCTTCTCTCTCTTTTTTCTGCTTTACCCTGTACTTATATATCCTGGTTTAGGGGGTCTATATCAATTTTACTTGTCTTTTTGGTCTTGAGTCAGATTGTCAGAACAATGATGGGTTTAATGGGAATACTTACCTTTTATGTTCCTATATTTCTCTAACTAATTTATGTTATTTGCAACAGTTGGAAATGGAGGATGGTGATGAGATAGACGCTATGCTTCATCAGACTGGAGGTGCTATGATCTAGTTATTGCCGTACCTCAGGTTTACTAGGTTGAAAAAAAAGTTTAGGTTATTTCTGAGATTGGCTTTGTGAAAGACCATGTCTAAAACTTTATTGTAACTTGATGAGTCTATTTTGAACTTAATTGCTCTGTTTGATCTCTGTTTGTCGTCGTGAATTCTGGATGCTTGGTATGTCATTGCCTGTTAGGGCATCGCCCCAAAGCACATCTTATTATCTAAACTACATGGAAACTATTTTGTATATTCTCATTGTCTGTGGCTATGGAACCAAATTCATTCTTTGTTGTCAAATGAAATATCTTAGGATGTTTATAAACGTGCTCAAAGTTTGAGTACGATTGTAATTAAGCTAGAGCTTCTGAGGAGTACTATGCTTGAAATTTGATTATCTAACCAATGGTAATCTGGTTTTGCGAGCTCAGTTTGAAGCTTGATTACTTTCCCTTGGGAATTAGTTAGGTTACGAGTTTAGGACTAGTAGACTACTGTGCTGGAAATTGCTTTCATTGTTTCAATGCCTTTAACAGTTTGACCTATGTATTTGATTTTGTTGTTTCAAGTGCTTGGAAATCATAGTTCTTGCTAATTTGTAATATTAGTAATGTGTCTGTATCTGATAGCTGAACTATTACTTGCATTGTAATTTTATTTATTTATTTTTATTTTTAGAAAACCAATTTTTTCTCCCCTGTTTTAATTATACTAAATTTGTATTTTTAAATATTAAAAAAAAAAAAAAAAGTGTTTATCAGAAAAGGTTATCATTATTTTATCAAAAAAAAAAAAAAATTGCACCTGTGCCATTATATTATAAACGGTATCAAAGTTGGTATTTAAACTACATCCGTATCTAATATCATGCAACCATGTATTTTGCTATGGGCAGAATAGTTCATGAAAACTTGACTCCAATCAAGGCCACAAAATAATTGAAGCCTTTTTGCTATGTGGGCCTTATCCAATTACACAACCACCTTTTCTTAGCCACAAAATTCCCACATCATTCAACAAACACTAGCAATAGTAGTGACAAACTAATTTCTGATCTTTTACTCTATCCTTTCCCTAACGCCATTACTCTTAACACTCTCACCTTCTTCAATGGCTACCACATCCACCACCACCTCCCTCTTTTACTCCAAATCTCCCATCAAACCCTCTATTACTCCTTTAACTCCTACCGTCGTCCCTTTTCTAACCACCCGAACTCGTCGCCTTCGGCTCACTCCAATGATGGTCACAGGAACAGACTTCCTAGGCGATTTCGGAGCCAGGGACCCTTTCCCAGCTGAACTAGAGAGCAACTTCGGTGAAAAAGTCCTAGGAAACGTGAGCACAGAACATAAGATTCTCATCCCACAAACTAAAGCTCTCGCTCTTTCGGAACAGCCTTGTATTCCTATATCTCCTACTGATGCTCCAATGTCTATGGATGATGCTAAGCAGCTCCTCTTGAAGGTCGTCGGATGGCGATTACTCGAAGACGTAACCGAAGATGGTAAGGTTGTGTTGAAATTGAAGTGTTTGTGGAAGTTGAAGGATGTTGAAGCAGGAGTTGAGTTGAAAGATAGGATTACTAAGGTTGTTGAAAGTGCTGGAACTGGAAATTTCCCTGTTTTTCATCAGGAGGATAATAATCAGATGACTGCTGTTTTGTGGACTGAGCAAATTGGTGGGTTGAGTGTTAATGATTTTATTGTTGCTGCTAAAATTGACAAGGTTAAGATTTCTGATCTTCTTCCTAAGAAGAGATTTTGGGCTTAGTATTTTTTGTTCTTGAAAGATGTAATAGAAATTGGTTGAATTAATTCAATTGGTTTCATTATCCCTGTTTTGCAACGATACATAGAGGGTTGATCTTCACTTTTTTTTACCCAAAAAATCTTATCTCTATGGTAAGACGGAATTCTTTATTTTTGCATATTTCCTAATTATATTTCATTTGTCCGGAATTAGTAGTTACGTATATGAAGTAAATTTCTTTGGTAATTATTCAAAATAATAGTTACATAAATGAAGTTATTTCGTTGATAATTATTTTGATCAAATTGGCATATTTAATGGCACCAATTTGGGTAGAATTTTCTTGCCTAAAATTGTGGTTTGGTCCCATACTCCCATTGCAATTTGTAGTTGATTTACTGTGATATTTTTAAGGGTCTGTTCTCTTACGTTGAAATTCAGTTCAGTTCAATTCAGTTCAGCTCCTAATTTCCTTCTCTTATAAAATATTCATTTCAGTTCAGTTCAGGTCAATTCAGTTCAGTTCAGCTGAGTTCAGTCAATGAGAACAAGCCCTAAGATGCAACCATACTGAAAAGTTGAGATTCTTGAGAACTGAGTTGGAGGTTACTTCAACTTTAATCACTTAAAATTTTGTCATTGAAATCAGGGCCGGCCCGGAGGGGTAGGCCTCGAGTGCGACCGCCTAGGGCCCACGTCAGAAAGGGGCCCAAAAATTAAAAAAAAAAATCAATTTGCATAGATGTAGAATTTAAACTGTCTAAACTGTAGTTTTTACTCGTTAAAAAATAAGCTATTTTTAAAAAAGATAATAAATGCATTTAGTTAGCAATTAATATTAAATTACTTAGATGTCAATTAGGTGGAGATAATTATGCAACATAACCTCTTCTTCTTCTTCTTCTTCTTCTTCTTCTTCTTCTTCTTCTAATCTTCCGATTTTATGAGTATCTGTTTCAAAATATTAATCTTTTCAATTACACCGTTTCATATTTATTCAATTACCGAAATATTATGCAAAGTTATTACTCCAGTATTGTGTATGGAGACTTATTATTCAAATAATTTAAGTTATTTTCATTGTCTTATATTTAAAACTATTGCGTGTAAAAAAAAATTGTTTACGTAAGGGGCCCTTTTCTTACATTATGCCTAGGGCCCATAAATTTCTAGGAACGGGGCTGATTGAAATAAGAATCACATGTCCATTATTACTGAATTAGTAAAGACCAATTTTAGGATCATATAATGAAAGAGGAAGTTCTTGCAACAGAAACCAATTTCCATATGTAACCATTGCATAATTGCTAGTTTGAGGCATAAATTGTTTTAGGGTTGCAAATTCGCTTTGATGGGAAAAATAATACTCTGTACTTGGTTGATTATATTATAGCTATCCAAATTTGTTTTATTTATTTATTTTTATTTTTACAATTTTACATTGAATCTATGAGAAATTCAAGCTCTCAAATAATACGGGTGTAAATATAATATTGTAAGATAGGCATAAAATTATTCTATAAATGTTTAAAAATTGTTTTGAAATAAAAATAAAAATAAAGGCCGCCTATGTGTTTTTCTTACCAATAATGTTTTTGTCGCAAAATAAATAATAAATTCCCAAGGATCCACTCATAATGTATATAAAAAAAACATTAGTATTTGAAAAAATTAACCCTAATATATGACGTTGCAAAATAATAGTCTCTTCGTTTAATACTTGCTCCATTTTTTCATGCGCAAAGTTTTAGTAGAAATTGGAGAAAATAATAATGCTGTATATGGAGTTGGGTAGGTGGAAGAAAAAAAAATTGTGAAAAACAAAAGTAGTTGTAAGGATTGGAGGAGAGTGAATATGAAATTAATAAAATATGATCATGGCGAGTCTACTAGGTGAGTGAAATTAGTTAAATACTCCCTCCGTTTTTTTTAAATGCATCACTTTGATTTTTGCACCATCCACATACCATGGTTGACTTAGGGCCTGTTCACTTCAGCTTAATTTCAGTTCAGTTCAGCTCCAATCAGTTCAATTTAGTTCTAATCAGTTCAGTAAATGTGAACATGACCTTATTTTTTTCACCTCTATAAAATAAATAAATGTTATTATATAAAATATAATATATCATTAGATTTGTCATAATGTCTAGTTTCATAATATGATTTTGTTGTAATTTTTAAAATTAACAATTACATATATTAAAGGTCAAAGTTGCATCTCGGCAAATGTGCCGGTCAAATTGATGCAAATAATAATAAAAAACAGAGGGAGTATTGAAAAAAATTTCCAAATAAGGAAATGGAACAAGTATTTAAAAATGGCCGAAAAAAAAAGTGAAACAAGTATTTAAAAACGAAGGGAGTTTTTATTGTACACTTATAACTGGTTATTATGTAAGGAACAAAATATTTGTACCCTATAAGAGTGAACCATAAAATGTCTTATAAGCAAACAAAATTTTTAATCATTGATGTACTTGAAATTTGAAATTTACACACACTTCATGTTTGGGAAACTATTCTCTAATTTTCTTCAAAAAAAAAAAAAAAAAAAAAAATCTCTAACAATGCTTGAATATTTGGGATTATCTGGCTGAAATGGTAACAAATCCAACTAAATCAAATTTTATTTAATTTTTTAAATAACTCATCAATGTTTATTCATATCATATTATAAACATCTCAAATATACGAAATACAAAACAATACTTATACAGTTTCATTTTGAATTGAAATTTAATGTTCACGTAAAATAACTAAAAAAAACTTTATTATAATAAATTAAATAAGGCAAAAGCTGATGAACGCTTCAGGACATTAGAAATATTGAATTAAAATAAAAATTAATTACCTCGATTAACGCATAACTTTAAAATGCAAACTAAATTATACTCGTACTAGTTTAGAAAATATTTTAAATATTTATCTAATATCCAAAGATGTCGCTGGCAAGAGCCTAAATATAAGAAAGTGTATTTTTAAAATTTTGAAATACCCATCAAATCACACATTCACATTAGTGGTATGTTGAGAGTGAGAGTTAGCTCAAGTGATTCTGAAATCGATTCTCATCACTCTCCTCTTTAAACACAAAAAAAAAAATATTAGTGGTATGTTTGGAAATCGGGTCATCAAATGTGAGGGTTGAAAAAACACAAGACTTCAGATTTGTAATTGGCCCAAATTGTTGACATTCAAAAAAATAAAAGCCCAAAAGTTGAAATTTAAAAATTCCAAAAAAAAAAACTTTAAACATAACTCCCGTAATTTTCTCACAATCTCACCGACATTCCCTCTTTCTCTCTCCTCTTTCCCTTCTTTCCTTCCTTCCTGCAACCACTACTTACTACACTACTACCAGTCATTCCAACTCAAACTAACAATACCAAAAATCATGAAAACAGTTTCAAAAAATTATAATTTAGTTCTCATTTTATTTATATTTGCAATTATACCCTTTACTTTCTCTGAATTTACCTCTAAACATTATGTTGATGCTCTTTCTAAGAGTCTTTTGTATTTCGAAGCGCAACGTTCAGGGCATTTGCCTTATAATCAAAGGGTAGTTTGGAGACATCATTCTGCTCTTCTTGATGGGCTTGAACAAGAGGTACGTCGTATGTTTATTATCTCAATGACTCAATTCGACATAAATTTCTATTATACACTCGGACGTACACTGTATTAAGCAAACAAAAAAAATGAGAAGGTTTTTTTTTCGTATATTGTTGTGATGATAGAATATACATTGGGGTTATAATGATTTATTTTGGTGTATAATCAATTTATAAATCTATAATGCTCTGTTTTATAATTAGGAAAGTGAAAATTTTAAAAGATGTTATTTTATTATTATGCTGTTCATTCTGTTTCAATTTGTTTGCTTGATCTGCAAATGTAACCATAAATGAAAAAAAAGGGAGAAAAAGTAAAAGTGAAAAAAATGAACAAGTTAGTGTGGGGCCCAAGCTATGAAGAAATAGTATTACTTTCTTTTGATTACAGGTTAAATGCAACAATATGATTTTTGCAATTATTTACCCATGTTTTTAACTTGTTCATTAGTTAACTACTTCGTACTATATAATTTGAGGATTTAATATGAATTGTGCGTCGGCAATTGTGTTCGTCACTGTTGTACTTTTATATAACTTGAAAATCATTAAGAGAGTACTCGTAAAAGTTTACCATAAAAGGAATGAAGCTAGTAATTGGAGACGATTAGAAAAGGGAATGATATAATTATTTTGAGATTGATGGAGTATATGTTAAAAAATTAAGTATGCTATATTGATGACCGAGATGAAATAATGACCAATTTACTTATCATAAATAATTGGTACTCTGTAAATAATAATAAACGGCATATGAAAAGCTAAAAAAAACGCTTAACGAGGTAGATTGGCATGTTCATATTTATTGAGCTGAGTTGAACTGAACTGAATTAATTGGAGCTAAACTGAACTGAACTGAACTGATTGGAGCTGAACTAAACTGAAATGAGTTGAGATGAATATTTTATGAGAGAGGGAAATTAGAAGCTGAACTGAACTGAACTGATTGGAGTTGAACTGATTGGAGTGAACTGGTTAGAGCTGAACTCAAATTAAAGTAAATGTAAATAGGCACTTAAGTGAAAATGTGAAATTTATTTTGTGTTCATTGCCTACTTTCATTAAAAAATATATGTACATGTATAGATTGATTTGGTGGGAGGGTACTATGATGCCGGCGACAATGTCAAATTCGGGTTTCCGATGGCGTTTACGGTGACAATGCTGTCATGGGGAGTCCTTGAGTATGGAAAAGAGATGATGGAGGCCGGAGAATATGATCATGCACTTGAAGCAATTAAATGGGGCACAGATTACTTAATCAAAACTCATCCTCATCCAACTGTATTATGGGCTCAGGTTTAATTTGTGCCCTTGTAACGCTTTCTTTTATATTGTTTGTTACACCAATTGTTGTTAAATGTTAATATATTAATATAAGACGTGATGCATTCATGCGTCATTTTAATTTAATCAAGGTTGTTACATCTTACATGATAAAACAAATACGAAGTATTAACTAAAGAGAATGTTCAGGTAGGTGATGGCAACTCCGATCACTATTGCTGGCAACGCCCGGAAGACATGACAACCTCACGGCACGCTTATAAGGTCGACGAAAACAATCCGGGATCAGATGTTGCTGGTGAGACGGCCGCAGCAATGGCAGCTGCATCCTTGGTGTTTAGGACAACTGACCCACGTTACGCTAATATGCTCTTGGACCATGCTCAACAAGTAAGCATTTAATAACTTTGTAATCTACGTTACTTAAGCTCTTATTTTTAGCTTACATACTTTTGTTAACTTTTTGACTGGATATGAGTATGACCCTTTTACAATTTTATTTTGGACTAAAATGGTCCAAAATTTTCATTTGGTCTCAATTATTGGTCACAATCGTCACATATTTAGTCCAAACACTTTTATTCGAGTCCAAATACATAGTTCATACGAAATAATAATTAACACGAGTTTGTTACAAATATATATATATATTTTTTTTGGGTGTTATATCAGGGCAATATACTTATTTATTTATTATTATTATTTTTTTTTATGAAGTTGTTTGAGTTTGGTGACAAATATAGAGGAAAATATGATGATAGCTTAAAAGAAGCAAAGGGTTATTACCCTTCATGGAGTGGGTACAAAGATGAGTTATTATGGGCAGCTTTGTGGCTATACAAAGCCAGTAAAAAGGCAAATTATTTGGACTATGCAATCAACAATGCCGTCTCTTTTGGTGGAGTCACTTGGGCCATCAATGAATTTAGTTGGGATCTCAAGTATGCTGGCCTTCAAATTATTGCTTCCATGGTAATCATACATTTTACTATGTTTATTACTTGCTCTTTCTCAAATAATTGCAACATATTCAAAATTTTCCACATTTCTAAACAAATGCATTGTTCCCTCTTCAATTCATCATGTTTACTTGTGTCCACATATTTATGCTCCGACTACTATACACATTTCTATTCAAATAATGTAGACTTTATAGAGTATGTTTTCTATAACCCGATTAGACGTCAAACTGTACCTAAAACTAAATAACTCGATACGATCCAAGTTGGAAGAATATTGATATGACTGTAGTTTTGTACATACATGATGGTACTTAAATTGAACTGAATCTGAACTAAATGACTCATCACCTTAGTAGGGCTCGAGTTAGTAAGGCTCGAATTGAGCCTAATCTGAATAACCCATTTGTCACATGTAGAGCTTAGTGATTTGCATTGTTGTATTTTCTTGTGATAAATTTACTAGCTCTAACTTTCTTATGATTCTTTGTGGCAGCTATTAAGAGAAGAGAAGAATGATAAAAACAGGAAAATACTAGAACAATACAAATCAAAAGCAGAACACTACATTTGTGGTTGCCTCAACAAAAACAAAGCCAACAATGTGAAACGCACCCCAGGGGGCTTACTGTACACCCGCAGATGGAACAACTTACAGTACGTATCAAACGCTGCGTTTTTACTTACAGTCTACTCTGATTACCTTCAAACGACGAGTCAGACACTAAACTGTTCCTTAGGAGAAGCAAGCCCAAAAGAAATCATGGGCCAAGCCAAATCACAGGTGGACTACATATTGGGCTCTAACCCAATGGGCCTAAGCTATTTGGTTGGGTTTGGGCCTAAATACCCATTAAGGGTCCATCATAGGGGTGCATCAATTCCATCTTATAAAAAAGTGAGGGATTTTATTGGGTGTACTGAGGGATACAATAAGTGGTATGGACACCCAAATCCAAACCCAAATCTTTTGGTTGGGGCTGTTGTTGGTGGGCCCAATGATAAAGATGAGTTTACTGATAAGAGGAGTAATTATATTCAGATTGAAGCTTGTACATATAATACTGCCCCATTAGTTGGAGTTTTTGCTAGGTTGCATAGTATTAAGAATAATACCATATATTGTTCTTCTATTTAGAGTTCCTCATTTTTAAGGAACTTGTTACTCATATTAGTTATATATATATATTGCAATTTTGAAGCGTGACTAAGGTTAAGTCCGCTCTCTAATTTCTTACTAAGTTTTGTGTTTAGACATATTAAATCGTCAGTAACTAATCTGTACCCAACCTGTAAAATTGCCCAAAATCGAGGAACTATGGGATAAAATCTAGCTAATACAAACAAATATGAGCGCTTTATCTATGTAATTGCACAAGTTGATAAGCATTGGTATATATTTGAGATTTAGAAGTCAACAAGATTAATACCTATATGTTTTGGATGCAAAAGAGGTGCTACAATAAATTGATATATATCTAAAAACTTGTACTTATAGTCCCTTATTAGTTATTACAGCAAAATTTCCAAATAAATGACATAAGCAACTAGAAACAACAATATTGTTTGTCAAAAAAAAAAAAAAAAAAAAAAAAAAGAAACAACAATATTAACCCAATCCAAAAAGAAAGCACATGTATACAACATCAAACAATGCAAAACATTTAGTAGTCGGTCCAAATTAAAGCTTATTACTGTGAGGCATTGCACTTCTCGTTAATATCATCAGGATTATCATTACCATCATCAATATCACTGATCACCTTATCAGCATAGTTGTGACTTACAACACCTTGACCAGAATTTTCATCCAAGCTTCTTTCCTTCTCATCGGTTAATTGTTGCAGCACCTCCGCCGTTGACGGCGCCCTTTCTCCTCTTTCCGATGATGACACCGTTTCTTCCTTTCCTACTCCTTTGTGTTGGCTGTATTTCTAATAGTCACACATTCACAATACATACATAATAATGTTAAAATTTCATACATCATATATTCGTTTATGTATGTGTAGACGTATACTTTGTCCCACATTGAAAGACAATGTAATAAAAATCATATTCATATTGTTAGCTTATAAGTTATGTACTAGCAACATTCCGTATTTCCTTGGCGGAAATTGATTTAATATAATTCTGTTAACGTATAAAAAAAAAGTTATGTATCACCCCTATTACTAGCTACTCGTACCTTAATTAGATTTAACATGAAAATTAGCTACAAACAATATTTTCTTACAAGTTAGACGGTAGCCCAAAATTGATTCGATTAATCTACAATTGTAAAGATGGACTAAAATATCTAAATGAAGTAAAAAAATGTACCATGTTTAAGGTTAATCAGCTAGAAAATCATCGTATAGTCACTTTAGTGTATAAAGAGTCATAAAAAGCGAGGTAAATGAAATTCCTAAACTAATGCCTAGGATATCATGTGACCTAAAACTTTAACCAATTAATTTGACTGATGTTTAGATTCCAAAGATCATTATAAACTACGAGAACACGATATAACAACGAAAGATCCTACTTATATTGCTTAAAGCAATTGAAATTGATAACAAAAAAGAATTATAGCTCAAAAATTAGTACCTTGATAGATTTAGAAGCAGCATGTGGAATTGCAAGAAGTGGATTAAGTTGAGGAGATTTGCTAGAAACGAGGTGAACAAGCCGACTCATATTGAAGATCTATTTTGTTGTTAAGTTTATCGAGTTTCTAAGAATAGTAACATACATACATACATATTAATTGATTTGTTGCCTCAAAACAAGATCAGAAGATCGAAGTAAATTCGTATTTCGTATTATTATATTATGTATGCATGTCGTGGCGTATAAATGGAAATTTTGTAACACGTGGTGGAATAGGAGACGGCCATGTACTAATTGTTCTCTTTTCTATTTATTTTATTCTTTGTTTTGAATATAGAAGCATCATCCACAATTACAACTCAGTCATTTTATAAGTTGTTAGAGGTTCCACCTCACCGGCTTTGATAACATGATAAATGGGTCAGGGTCACACCGCCTTATAAAGTGGATAGACATTCTTTGTTTTGATAACATGATAAATGGGTCAGGACCACACCGCCTTATAAAGTGGATAGGCATTCTTTGTTTTGATAACATGATAAACGGGTCAGGACCACACCCGTCATAATTGTCTACTTTACACGACCAAGGAGGTTTCACCTCAAAATCATATGACAATGAGGGAAGTAGCCACTTAGCCATATAAAGTGGACACAACTTTTCTTATTTCTTCAATTTGAGATACACATCCCAATACAAACTCTTACTTATAAACTCAACCAATGTGGAACAACACACCACTCACATATAGGTTTTCTCATAGGCTCAACATATACATATAGCATCCCAAACAAAATTCAAGTTATATAATTAACACAATGTGTGTACTTATGTCATTATTTTTTTTTTTTTTTTTTTTTTTTGATAAAAAAGAAAATAGACTCTTTATAAGTGAGAAATTAGCTATATCATATGTATAGAAATCGGAAATTTATTTTTAATCCATGTTTCAACTTTTTACTCAATTCATTGTCCCTTAATAAAATACAGAGTATTCATATGTATGATATGATATACAATTAGCTAATTAAATTTTCTAATAGAATCAATTAATTGAACCAGCTAATATATATCATACATACATATATACTCTATAAGTGTATAACCAGCTAGGCCAACAAAATCATTCTATTAACAATTAACATCGTCATAACATTGGTACATGTACACTGTACACACAAGAGTCTTGCGCCTCGTTACGTTGCAGCTTCCCCTTGAGTGTTTGCTCCTCCACTGCCTACTAGTGCCGCCACTTCATCTCTTTCAACCGCCGCCTCCTGCAAAACACGACGATTCAATCCCTCAGTCATCATCGCCACCATCATTAGTTCCTCTAGCATTTCCATCTTGTTGGTCTCGGTATATACCATCATCCTTCCCCATGTTGGCACTATACAGTTTTACCATAATAACACATGCAATAATACAAATTAATCAAACAGTATTATCAATGCAATATTCTACGTTAGTGAAAAATATAGTATTAATTTATACATGAAACTGTATATAATTGACTGAAATGTAATATAACCTCCGTTAAAGGTTATGTGCAACTTTGGGGTATTATTTGTGAGATATAAAATATTCCAAAGTTGTACATAACATCTAACGGAGGTAGTAATACAAGATTTCAATACATGAACGTACCTGCCAACGTAGTCATGAGCAAGAAGATGGCAAGAATAGCAAATCCCTTCATTATTTAATATTTTTGTGCGTAAGCCTAACAATCTTTGCCCTATTTATTATGATAATGCACAAAATTATTATGCCATATAATAATTTATATCTCCGAGAAATTACAAAAATAAAATCTCACAAATGGGTGGAGTGAGGCCGATCCATTGGCATTATCTTTTTGATTTCATATGGACAACATTTTTTACATGTTTATTTTTTTATGGCTAACATTTTTTTGATAGGATTATATGGACAAAACTTAGATAAAATCTTAATCCACAAGAGGGTGGTGGCCAAAAAAAAAAAAAAAAAAAAAACCTTTCTCCCTCTCTATAACCATCATAATCTTCGATACACAACCGGTTGTAACTGTTGGATTAATGGCTTTACAAGGTCTAAATTATATACCTCTTTATCATGGTTTTCTAATGGGTTTTTTTTTTTTTTTTTTTTTTTTTTTTTTTTTTTTTTTTTTTTTTCCCCTAGGATTCTATGAGTTACATTTTAAATTTTTAATACATGCATGTTAGAAGCTATAACCTTTTAATTTTGTGATGATCTGAGCTTCTTAATGTTTCATTAAGCTCATTTATATGGTGTTTATGGAGGGGAATATCCACATTAACATCTTATTCAATTACTATTGTAGTATATATGCAAAATCAATTACTTCATCCGTTTCTTTTTAATTGACACGTTTCTTCAGTCACGTTTGTCAATGCACATATTCAATCGTTAATATCTTTAATTACCGGCAAGCAAAAATTATAAAAAGTTGATATTTTGAAAATATTCATTGTGACAAATCTAATAATATCCCACTTCACTATATATTTCTTCACATATAAATCACAAAACATGATCAATGGGAGGTGTGTAAATAGTGTTAAAGTCAAAACGTGTCAATTAATTAAAAACCGGATGTAGTATACAATATCAGAGCAAGGCCGCTCTACCTACATTGTGCATTCAATTGGGTTAGGCCACATTTCAGACCAAAAACAGGGCGCTAATACTTGGGCCTAATTGTTTTTTACAAATTCTTGGGCCTACGTTGGATTGTGCTAGACACAATCAATTTTTCATGTTGGCGCAGTCCGGCATAAGCCATAAGAGCAAAGGTGTGAACTAACAAGGACCAAATACAAGTTTGTTTTCTTATAGACAAAATACAGATTATGTAGTAAATGACAAAAATGTAAATAAAAACTTGTTAAACATGGTCTTATGTTTTTTTTTGAAGAAAAATATGGGCTCATAATTATCGATTTAGTTACAAAAATATCATGCTGATTGGACAAAAAGTGAAATTATTTGTGTATTAAGATTTAAGATGATAATAAATTGGAACTTTCTCATTAACATGTGAGTATGTTAGATATGGGTCTGGGCCGCACTTTTCACGGGAGAGTGCAAGTCTACCACTTTACAAGACCAAAGAGGTTCCACCTCAAAACTATATGGCAATGAGGGGAGTAGCCCCTTAGCCTATATTGTGGTGGTAAACTGGTAACTCTTAAATTCTTTCAATGTGGGATTCCATTACCGCTACACTCCACCTTTTTAATGTTTTAGTGTGGGAGAAGAGAATGCTCACGTGTGGGTTGTTTTTGGGTTGAAGAGAGCAAAAGAAAGTCAAACGAGTAGAGGTTTTATAGTATACCCTCCAGTTTCTAAATAATTGACACATATGATATTTTTCATTATTAATAAACTATTTATTATTATAAGGGTTTTTCTACATTATAAACTTCTAACTTTCTGTTTTCTACGATGTGCTCCCCTTTTTGAAAAATCTACACTTTAACCCCAAAATACAATTAATTTTTATACAGTAACCTTGCCGTTATCTCGCCACTAACTAATTCTGTTAGTAGGGCCCAATCTCCACCTAATAATGTTTTTTTTTTCTTTAATTTTATCAATTTGCATGTTGGAAATTATTCCGTTAAAGGTTTTGGGGGCTATTTTGGCCTCGAAGGATCCAAATTGAGCTCAAATTTTAGAAAAAGCACACAGACACCTCTTTTTGCGTATTATGAAATGTGTCGATTGCGTGTTTATGTATTTAATACCCCAAAACTAGGCATTCACGTTATTTTTTATTTGTCAAATCTGAGTCAGTTTGCACCCTTAAGGACGAAAATAGCCCTCAAAACCTTTAACGAAACAATTTTCAACATGCAAATTGATAAAAATATTATTAAGTGGAGATTGGGTCCCACTAACGGAATTTTTTCACGGCGCGATAACAGCAAGGTTACTATTATAGTGTGGATTTCTTAAAAAGAGATGACACATCATAGATAGATTACGGAAAGTTAGAACGTTACTATATAGAAAAACCCATATTTTAATTAAGGTTGGATAGTTGTGGACTTGTGGGGCCGGATATCTGTATTGTAGTCTATGGATTTGCCTCATCATGGATAACTGTGTGTGGGCGTACGTGTGTTCTAACAAAGGTAAATTAAAGTTATTGAATTAAAAAAAATAAACGATGATGCAAGAAAGTATACAATTATGTTTAAATTAACATCAAAGATTTCTCTAACAACATAAAACTTATACATGATCCTTTTTTTTATTCATGATCCACAAAGATGATAAAGAGTAGGTATACATTATATTGTAGGTTGCATATACATGTATATAACAACCATGCATAAAAGATTACAAACATACATACGAAACATCACATAAATTAAGACAACTCTCTTGCAGTTTTGCTTCCAATTGCCAAGTAAAAGCTAATTTAAAATTATGAAAATTCTACTATGATCCACTTTATCTAGACCATCACTATACTGAATTATCATTGGTCAATTTATTTATTTATTTTACCTTGGTCAAACCTTATTTTTAGTTATTTCCTTTTTTAATTATTTTTTTATTTTCCAAAATTTAATTACTGTATTTCCAAAAATCATTTTATAATTTTTGAAAATAATTTATTAAAATCAGTATTTAATTAAATAAAAAAAGATTAAATTAAAAAAAAAACACATTTAACATGTAACGCTATTTTGACAAATATGAAAAATAATATTTTCGATTCTCATTAATATAACTAGAATACGTATATATACAAAACAGAAGCATGATATGTCCTAATTATAAGGAATACAACTAGCAATGGTAGCATGCATTTAGCCTAAATATAAGGGGTTGAGTATTGACTTTTCTAATTTATAAATACAAAAAATATATTTACTACATTTAACAATTTATCATTGTATTCTTTCCAAAAATATATGTATAAAAAAAAGTTTGTCATGTAATTGCTCACCTCCACGTTTTTTTTTTCATTTGGTTATTATATGCGATTCGTCCAATATTAGGATAAGACATTACTTATATATTTAGAATAGGTCTCAATCTTCTTGATTATTGTAAAATTATAATAATAACCAAAGACGGTTCATTATTTTAATTAATAACAAGCTAGTATCCAAGTAATCCAACCATTGGGTCACACGATAGATAAGAAGATAATCATCTAATT